CAACTCATCAAAGCTAATGGACCAGAAAACATGAAAGGTCCAAGTGTCAGTGTGAGGGAAAATGAGCAAACATTGAAAAAGATCAGATGAAGGTTGAAGAGGGAGAAAGTGGCTATAAAATAAATATCAGAGAGTGCTGCTTGATAAAATCACTCATGGGAAAGACACCAGTGATGAGAAAAATGAACTAAGATTGAAATTTGTAGAGAGATGTGAAAGCAAAGAAATACGCACCTAAGGGTTGGATGTATCATCATTGTAGGAGTTGAAATGGTTATGGATGAGTGGGGAAGATTGCAGGATAGAGGATTACCAAGACTTTAAAGAAGGTTGATAGGCGTGATAAGATGTAATGGCAAAATGAATAGAAAGAGAAGCATCAGATGCAGTTTGCTCAAAAGCTGGGAGAAAGTTGGAAGAGGAAAAGATGCAGACAGAAAGAAGCCTGATAGATCAAACATAGATGAGTTAAGTTGGGGAATATGAAAGTAAGCAAGAAGGGACAGAACTAATTTAAAATAACTGGGAAGTGGTGGGATAACTGTTACAGGCTGTCTTCGCAGAGCATGCAGAAGTGTCCTCATCACAGGAACCCTATCACACAGGTATTCAAGTCAGTTGTTTATTTCTAAATTATATCAGATATCAGATATCATGTTGCAGTGTTTTTGTGTTGTTTCCCTTTATGGAATCTGACAAAAAGTATCTGTACTGAGATCTCATCTGATTGCAGGAAAAAGAAATATCTTGTTACATGTCAATTACTAGATGGCATGTTGAATAGAAAGAAACAAACCAAAACAAAAATCTAGTGTTTAATGGATATTCAAGGATGATTTCATCAAAATAATCTTAGAACAAATAATGTTCTGTGGAAATTTGTGTGTGTGTTAGTCTGGTACCTTAGGATTTAGGAGCTCCAAAGACGAGTGGTTAAACTGTCACTGCCTCTGTGACTATATAAAATTATTCACATCTATCTAAGTTGTGTATTGACTGGAAATTGGACTACAGAAATAGAAATGTCTTTAGAAGCCTTCACATGCCAAATGCATCAACTTTTTGGCCAGAAAACCAATATGTCTGAGAAATAGCCTCCTAAATCCACTGAGAAAGGATTGCTGGGCTAGCAACACTCTTGATTTAAGAAAACATTATATTAGCTAGACTGTTCCAACTGGAAAAGGCTTTGAAACTTCTTAATTATTTGCTTTGTATACTCAGATATATTGCTTTAATTTGTTTCTTTGCATTTTTGTACAATTTATGGTAACACCCGTCCCTGAGCCCTTTAATGTGCTTTGTCTAATCTTGTATCTTTTACACTGTAGCCACCCAGGATTATCCACCAAGTAACACACGTCCAGTACTTTACATGTGCACTGTAACACAAGGCTTGTGGGGAAAAACACCCTCTGGGCTGTAGTTCAGGCAGCTCTAATGCTGCACATGTTCTAGGATCTGCTTTTTAGCAGCTCCTATTAGTTGCCATTAGTTGCCCAAGCTTTGGTCATACACAGAAGTTAAGAGTCATGGTACACCTCACCACAGCAGACAGCAAAGATACTTCCAGAAAATGGAAAAAAAAGTTCCTAGTCAGCTCTGGACAAAAAACACAAAACCCTTCCTCAGCCAAGAATAAAAAGGTTTGTAATTTAAGTTTTGTACTAAAGAAAGTAGAGCTGGTAGAGAAAAAAATCTAATGTATTTAAAAATGAAAACAAGTTCCAGTGTCAGAACTCTTTCTCATTTTTCTTTTCCCTTTTCTGTCACTGTAGTCATGCTCAAAGACAGGCCATTAATTCTACGTACAGTGAGTGATGGTCATTTCAGCTGCAAGGGTGAGGTCACTGATTTATGGAGGTTATAGCTGAATTTGGGAACATGAGACAATAGAAGAAAGAATTACTTTTTTTTTGTGTCATTTGAACATATTGGTTTCCCTTTAAACAAGGATTTTTGAAATTCTGTTCCAGGAGCCTTTACAGGTACCATTAGTTCCAGCTGAGGAGCAGGACTAATGCTGAATAGGAGTCAGAAAAAAGGGTGGAGGTGGAAACAAATGGCATAAACCAGACTAATGTACAGTCTGAACAGGGGCTAACAGTATTCCAAGATAACGGAATAATCTGGTTACAGTTCGTGAATACAGAAACTTATGGAAAATATTTTTATAGAAAAACTAACAAAAATATGCCCCCTTGTTGATCTATATGTAAATCCTTGAGATGGAAATAGAAGATGCAAAACTAATAATAGTCATTTTAAGTATGACTGAGTTTTAATTAGGAAGGCTGGTATTTTGTGTTACTCTGAGGCACTGGAGAAACCACAGGCAGATTCTTTGCTGATGTGGCATGACTTTAGTGGCAAAAGACACAGCAATCCACTATATATAAATATAATACACTATAAGTGTAAGATTAATATACCCTTTGGAATCTTAGTGATTTAAAGTGCTTAATTTTCTTTCTTTAATAATAACATAAACAATGGAATTAGTGTTTCTCATATAGTGAATAGTGGATGGCTATCCACTTGTCCACCATAGTACCTCAAATCACCACTGTACCTTGGCACCTATATAAGAAGACTGCAGGAGATCTCACCATTACCTCAGGCACATCACAAGCCTTTAATAACTAGGAAACATTACTAAAAATAATGATTTGATTCCTGGTTTTGGAGAATCTTGACCACATTATTGTTCTGGTATAAAAAAGTGGAATTAATTTCTTTATCTCATCCTTATTACATATGAGGGGGGAAGATGTAAAGGTGAAACTTGTAAATGGGTTTTCTGATCTTAACTGACAGAACTATTTTGATGTAAGGAAAGAAATCTGCAGCAAAACTTGCCAGTGCAATTGCCAAACTGAAGCCTGGACTCAATGTCAGATTTATATGCCACAAAGAACTATTTATGAGGAACTATCATTTTAGCAGATACAAATTGTTGTACAGATGAAGCACATCATCTCACCAGCTGCCTAAATCTGCTCTGGGAAGAAATAAGACTAAGCTGTTAAACCCTTGCTTTGATCTAGTATATGGATTTAGGAGCTCATTAAATGTTTTTTATATTTGCTTGAGCACAGAAACACCATTACTTGCCATTTGTGATGAGACAGCCTTAAAAGATTTCAGGGGCATACATGTTAAGGGATTCCAAGCAGCCTTAAAAAAAATTTCAGTGTGATTTAGTCACTCTTTCTGTATGTGTAATGGTCACTATTGATGTGATCACTTGCCATTCTTGCCTGGTGTGCACAGTCCTTAACACAGTGGTGCAGAGTAGTCAGTTTTCTCAGGATTGAAGCTGGGACTCCAGCTTTAGCAAGTAAGGGTGTCTCCCGTGCTGGTGTCTGTGTTGGCAATGGTGCCCACAAGTAATACACTATCTGATGGTTTGTTTTCCAGGCTGGTTTATGTTGAGAAGCCAGACAAAGACCAACAACAAATGAGAAGAGACGGACACAAAAGATGGTTGGTAGAAACAGGCAGGTGCTCTTTATTTCATGTGGCACAGCATTAGGCAGACAACCCAAGAAACAGTTTCTAACAAAAACCAAAGCTATCACTTCCAGGAACCATCCCCCAAACAAGGGTCTACTACCAACAGTGGCACTGAGATGTCCTTGCCTGTCCACTCTCATCTCCTCATAGTTTTTATGCGCTTAGGCTGTATCTTAGTGGTGAGTGTCCTTTCCAAGGAGACTAACTTCTTACAATGCAATATCTTTAGACAGAGTACATACTGTGCAGGATCACCAGAGTACAATCTCCTCAAGCCATGCTAAAATATAATGCTAACTCTGGAGAGAAGGCTGTGCGATCGCCTCGTGTCTCTCTGAGGTAATACAATGCTGTTTCTTAGCTGACAACATGAGGGGCACCTGAGGGAGGATCAATATGGCTTCAGAGTCTATTTTTAAACTCCTGATGCAGTAGCGAGGACCTGGTGTGCCATCGGCTGAGACAGGGTGAGGACCTCGTCCAGCCCCGACTGCCACTGGGCACCAGCAGCACCAGAGAGCTGAGCCTACTGTCACTCAGGGGGGTGAGAACAGAGATGGTCTTGGACAAGGAGGAGAAGGAGAAGGAGGAGGAGGAGGAGGAGGAGAGGGCCATCAGAGATCACAACAGACCGTCAGCTTCTCGTGGGTCATTAGGCAAAAGGTAACAATGACAGCGGTGTGGGGAGGGGTTACATTGTTAGCACTCTGGATTTAAAGGCATGAAGCATGGCTGGTGGAAGGAAGATGTTTTGGAGACTAGGGGCAAAGCTTTAAAAGCCTTGGGATATTACTTTTAATTATTATCTACAGGTTATTCTCTCTATATATACTATTTTTTCTTTCTAAATTATGAAAATAAACATTTATTAACAAGTCACTGGGTCAAATCCTGCTCTCCACTGAAGGCAAATCCATTGACTTCAATGGGAGGGAGCCCCGTGTAAACAACGAAGGGCAAATTTGGCCCTTTATGTCCTGAAAAGTCTGCTTGTACCCACTGTCTTTCAATCTTGCAAGAAAATACAGTTTGAAGGGTGAACTAATCATTACAAATTTCTCTTAAACTACCAGGGGAGTGTCAGTGAGATGTGGCAAAGGAGAAAAAGAAAAAAGAAAAAAAAAAAAAAAAAGTTCAGAGCCAAAGTACAAAAAGAGAGTGGATCTGGATCAAGAGCTACTGGCCTTTACTTTCTAAGCAACAACAAAATTCTTCATTTAGCTTCGGTGAAATGTTACACAACCAGAGAAAACAGAAGGAACCCAACAGTCCTTTTCCTTTGCAAACATCATACGTCCAAAGGTGAACACTGTAATCCCTTTGGATTCTCTGCTAACTCCCACTGTCTGCACAGTGCAGTGTCAGCCACTAAAGACAAAACACATCTACTGTGCACGAGTAAAACCTGTGGTGTCTTACAAACAACATTTTGATGTTTTGAATGCTAAAAACCACTAGGTGCTTTTAGACACAGAACAATACGATTTCATATGCATTTACCACTTTTATTTCACTATGCAGAAACATACATTCACCATGTGTTGTGATGCAGCTGACAGTGTAATGGACGCTATCCCTTCCGTGGGTATTAGAGCTGGACACTAGCGAGTTTTCAGTGGACGTTCTGTACAGGTTAAGGCTTGACTCAGAACTAGATAGTAAATGCTGACCAGATTCTCAAACAGATTTTTTTTTTTTTTTTCCTCTGAGAACAAAAGGGAAATCAATAGAAAACCATCACGGTTATTTCAGATTAATAATTTTCTAAAGCTGCAAACTAAGTAAAATACAGATTTTTTTTTTTTTTCTCCAAAATAACTACATATAATTTACAAGGTTAGGATCTGTGAAGGGTGACTGGAAGCTGACTCTGATCAATGCTGACAAAAATTATTAAAGTTAATATACTAAAATCATTACTACCTCATAAGGTATTCAGTCAGGTATACAAAGCACACTTTGTAAGCATTTATATGTTTGGATAAGAGTAAAGATTCGTCATTGTTTATTGGGCAGTAATAAAACCAGATGAAACAAATATAAGATTCAAGTTGTTTACTGAATAAACTGTGTTATTGGCACATCTAATGTGTGGTAAAACATTATACACAGTACCTATACAGCTTCTAGCATTTTGGGGGTAATCTTCATTTACAATATCTGTAAACAAAAGGCTTGCCACCTAATAAATTTTAATTTGTTTAGACTTTCAGAAACTGTGAAAGGCATGAACTGTTTATGTGTTACATGAGATCACTGTTTATATTGTTTATGAACGTGCAGGTAAAGCTGAAAACTTAGACATTTTAAGAAAATTAAAAATGCTGCTTTTCTGTAATTTTATTGTTGCTTCATGCAATATTGTTTAACTGCTGCTGATTCAGATTGCTTTCTATGGGAAGGTATCTCTGCCAGTTTCTTTATTAACGGTCAAGATCAATTCTTCTGTACTGAAATTTTCCATAGACAGATACAAGTCAGTCAGGTTGGAACTGAGACTCCGTATAGGCTCTCGTATTCCTACTGGTATGCATGTCTGGATTCATATGCATTTCTAGGTTATTCCTGCAGAAAAGAAAACTGAGTTAATTACTCAAAGCAACTACTCTCTTGCAAAAGAGATTTTGTCAATTTGTTCGCATAAGAAAAGCTGTTTGAAAATGGCATCATCCCCATATAAGCAACTTGGACCAAATCCAAAGTCCACTGATGCCAACAGAAAGAATTAGTGACATCAATAGACTTTTTAAGCAAGCCACATTGAGCTGTCTCTGAAACAATTAGCAGAATACCACAAGAATCACAGCTACTCACTCCTTAGTGACTGGTTCCATCTTCCAAATAAATAACTGACACTGAAATTCAGTTTTCTTTAGGGTCTGCATATCCAAAAGCAGGAGAGCCAAAGAGCTTCAAAAGGTGCTGTGCATTATACTCTGTTACTTACACCAAGTGCTAGGGAATACACATTGTTTTAAGAATAAAATGCTGCTATCGATTCAACAAATCTGACAAGCAGCTTTTTCTTCCCCTTCTGCATACAGCATTCAAAGCAATTTGTGCAATGGTGCTGGCATTAGGAGTTTTTGCATAGCAGGTTAGTATGCATGACATGTTTCTGCACACAGAATAAAGATAGGAATATTGAGGCGTCTGTTTAGCCAGCCACTATTGGAGAGCATGCCTTTACTGAAGGAAAGCTAGACGCAAGGAAAGCTGCATTATCATCTCATCCTGATAAACAATGCTGCTTTAAAACATTAAATGTTCTTCCAAGTACAAGAAAGCCAAGACACCCAAATACCAACAAACTAATTCACTGCGTTTAAAAGCGAGTTGGACCATATCTTTGCAAGTTGGGAATCAAAGCATAACTTTTAACATATCTGCACAAAACATTTAAAAAGCAGCTGTAGGTTTTTCCCTTGGCATTTTAAAATCAAAATGCACACCTTTAAGAACAAATTTGTTTTGTTCTTAAATGACACAAAAGCAGACAACAGATTTTTTTTATGACTTCAGAAATAGAAAATTAGACTACAACAAGGCATGGACAATGAGGACTTTTCAGAAAGCCAACGAAAGCAAATGAGTAGTTTCTCCAGCTGGCACTGTTTAATGAAGACAGATGTCTAGAGCTAATGTGGTTTATTTTCAAATATCAGAACTGATAACCAGCAACTTGAAAATGCCAGCGAGAGAAAGTGAAGAGTTAAAGGCGAAATATGGTAGGAAAACAACATCTGCAACATGCCAGCTCAGTAAATGCCTAGGAAAATCATCTGGTCCTCTTACCTGTGGTCAATCCTCCCCATCTTCTGGTGTGATTTCTGTCTCTTTATGTACCACTACTTTGGTCACTGACATGTCAGGGTGCTGCTCTTTGGCTTCTTTAATTGCCTGAGCCAGCGCCTATCCCAAGGAAACCACAGAAGGGCAAAAACAAAAAGGAGGTGGAACATGCATGATCAGTAGCAAGGTGGAGAGATTCATGACATATTACACAATTTACAAATGAGGAAAATGATTAAAATATGAAATATACCATCACTGATTTAACTACTATTCCCACTTAATTTAAGGCATGCTAGTATGAATAATATCTGTTGAAGGAATGTTTAGAAATGTTGTTTTTGGCAGTCTTCAGGGTAGCCTTTTTTAGCAGTTTGTAGATTTTACCTGATCGTGATCAATATCTGCATCTCCTGTGATGACTATTCGTTTTTCAATTCTTGTCTCTGAGATGCCTCCTTTCACAGTCTAGATGGGGGGGACAAAAATGCATATCAGTAACTTACTTTGGAGTGCTGCTACTCATCCCCAGAATGATCAGTGCAGGGATTCTCTCATGACTGGACTGAAATGGCTCAAACAGTTTGCACAGAGGTGACAACCCTGGACTGCAAGTGAGAGTTCTGGAGTTGGCCTGAATGCTCTGAATGGACTAATGGCCTCCAGATGTCCTTCCAACACAGGAAATTTTATAATTCTAGTTAATCTGCACATGCATCAAAAGAGATGTCTGTATGTCAAAAATGACAAACTCTTCCCATGAAAAACAGAATGGGAATATAGACAGCCCATATTCAGACCTATTTAAGTCCAACTGCTTGCTTCAGAATGGCATAGGGGTATGGCTTTTGTATGGCTCTTCTACTAATGGGGGAACTTCACTGCAGAAAGATGAAATCCTGTTCTCAGTGAATATTGGTAGGAGAGCTGTCATAGTACTAAGAGGGTTTCTGCTTAGGGAGGAACTGTTACTTAAATGCTGCCTTAGAACCTGGAAAACACTGCATGGTTTGTCTGTGCAGATGAGCTTTTGGTCTGGCTGTGGGCAAGTTCCTCAGAAACACAGTGTTGGAGCTGACTGAATGTTCTGTTATGGCTACAGGATATAGATTCACTATGTGCTTTCAACACCACGCAGTGCTAATATCTCAGGGCTGAAAGGCACAGTAATGGCAATGGAGCCTCATGTTCAGACAAGTTTTTCCTTCCAGGATACCATATGATGCCAATACTCTTCCCAGTTCCAGGTAATATTTGCAGCTAAATCAAGTGTCTCTGTACAGCAAGGTTTTGTGCTTTCATAGACATACCCAAAATGTTTAAGATTCGTGTGAAGTCATTGGATGATGTGTTAATCAACTCAGGATAGCCAAAGACAGGTGAATAAATACAAGGATGGTAAATGTACAACGTTTTGTCAAGAGAGTATCAGAATGTGTTTTCTTTTTGAAATAAATCACAGAACCAAAGCTAAGACAGCATACACCCCGGTGAAAAAGGAGCTCTCTGTTTTCTGAGGACTCACTTTGGTGATATGTGTAGTAGTTGTAGTGCTGGTGGTTTCAGATGTGATTGTTTGTGCACTCATCAATACACCTGGTTCAGAGTCAGCACCGCAATCCACCTAGAAACCAGAAGAGGAAACCAGTCACTGAAAAAATGCTCTTGAGCACAGGGAGACAAGAACTGGGCCATTAAAATTCCCTGTTTCTACAATTCTTCATAAAGTGAGTATCTTATGGTAGGGGACAACTGCTATTAGGGCGACCACATGTCAGTATTTCTCTGTGCATCTGGAGGCTGTCCTTCCCCTCTGAAGCACAGATGAGAGGATGGTGCTTTTAAATCTGCACTTTCAGCAATGTTCTCAAAGGCCCTACATCATGATGTGAGAGTGACCCTCTGGTAAGTTATTCTAATGTACTTCCTCCTCATGCTAACATTTAATACTTGAACAACTTAGAAAAGTTTAAACTAATAAATCCACTTAAAGACGAGTGAAGAAATGGGTTCTTTAAAGCCATGTTAAATTAGACGTTGTCTTTTTCAGAATTTCTTACCTGAGAAGACTCATATGTAATGGTTTTTGTTTCTGTATGGACTACTGGCACTTCCTTTGTTGAAATTTCAAGGGTTTCCCCACCAGCGGGAATACTGCTGAAACTTATAGTCTCAGTCTTCACAACTGGCGACTGCATGAACAAAAAAGAGGGAATTGGAACATTTAGCTAAGCTTATGGATTTCTCTACACAAATTTTTTTTTTCACTTGGGGCAAAGAAAGAATAACTAAAAAGTTCTCTGCATTTAACAAAAAAAAAAAAAAAGGAGAAAATTATTTTCATTACAGCGGTACATTCATGTGTACAATTGTGGTAACATTTAGCACTTCCCTGGATTTTACAAAAACAAAGTCCAAAATGTTCTAAATAATATAATAATACAATGATACAGGAGGCAAGGGTCACAGCTTGAAAAACAAAAGGTTCCCTGTGAACATCAGGAAACATTTTTTCACTGTGGGAGTGACTGAACACTGGCACAGGTTGCCCGAGGATATTGTGGAGTGTCCTTCCTTGAAGATAATCAGAAGAAGCACTCTGGACATGGTCCTGGGCAGCAACTCACTCTGGATGTACTTGCCAGATCAGACTGGAGCAGATGACCTCCAGAGGGCCCTGCCAGCCTCAACTGTTCTGAGAATCTGTGATTCTACATTTTCTTAAAATGACAAGAGAATGAATTCTGTGCAGGCTTAGTCGTTTCATCTCTTGGGAAAAAAACCTGTACAAAACAGCTCTTGAATTCTACTAATGGGGCTAAGATAAGGAACCCAGTCTGTTTAAGACACAGTACACTTATTTATAATTGAACCAAGCATGGAAAAAACCAATCCATTTCCTATCTTTGAGGACATGTGAACTTTGCCAACCTTAATGGACTTTCCCAAACAGAATGCCAGCTGATCTTGTTATCTGTTGTGTAAAATGCCATGAAATTTGGTATTTCTCTGTAGCATGGAAAGCAGTTTCAAGTAAAACATGCATGGCATTTTGCTAAGCCTTGCAGGTGACATGAAAGGAGGAAATAAGAGGAGAAAAAAACCTGCTTGCTGTAAAAGTGCAATCATACAAGCTGGGCACACTTTACTTTTAATGACAGGAGTTAACTTAGCCCACTACTGCCTACATTCACAGTTCAGCACAGACATGACCAATTTAACATCAAGTTACCTCAAAATGAGGTTTTCTTTCCAAAGACTCTGAAAGCTGGACTGTTGTTCTGTGCTCCTCCACCTGCTCACACGAAGCAGTGGCAGCGGCTCCTTCCTGTTTGGTCAGGGCTTTCCCAGCCTCCTCCCTTTTTTCCTCCTTCGCCCCCTCAGTCCCAGCAGAGCCCTCCTTCCCTTTCACGCCAGCAGCCACCGCCGATGCTGCCTCAGCCTGGGCATCCAGCGTAAGTCCGGCCATTTTAGCAGGATCCCCGCCTGCATGCACCTCCATCCCATGTCTCTCCTTGACAACTACAGTCTCCTGTACAACCTTCTGCACTGCATCCTGATCCGGCTGAACTGCTTGCTTCGTGTCACTGGAAGTTATCTCCTGAGACGTTGTCGTGTCTATTCTCTGCAGGGAAGGAGGAAAAAACCCTCAGCATCAGAAGCACACAATACTATTTGATTTGCAGTAGCTCCCAAGCTTAATGTACTGTGAACATAAATTTTGAAGAATGGGCATTATATTTTGCCAAGTTATTTTTCTCACATTGCATAGATTTTTGTTCTCAGGATGTTATCAGTAAAGCAGAAATGGAAAACAAAGCAAGAATCAAAATTTTTAAAAGTGAAGAGAAATTTTGATGATGGTGTTCTCCCCCTTGGTATTTTTGTGTGAGTTTTACAAAGACAAAATATAGCACCCCACAAAATGACCAAAATAAAATGAAATGAAAGAAAACCTGGTTACTTTTTTTTTTTTCCCCTTTTTGGTGAAGTTTCTGTTGGTGGTCCATTGTAATAAAGGAAAACACACATGAATACATGCACTAGTTATACAGTTCCATATTGTGCAAAAAAACCCCCACAAAACAAGAGAAAAGCAAAAGCAATTGCTGTGTGGTTATGACACCGATGGAGGGAATCAAGCAGCCACCTGAGCCCAGCTATGGGAAGAAGAAGTAACCCCTCCTATGAACTCAGTCGGTTTTCTGGCGGACTCTATTAAAGTGAAGATATCTGAACCATCCAAGGTTTTTTCACTGGTGGACTGTTTAGTCTAAATAGACAAAGAAATCTAGAGTCATACACAGAAAAAAGGCAGATGCATATGCACAGACATATTAATTGCCAAAACCAGAGGCGGAGACGGAGGAAAAGGAGAAAAGGTTGCAGAGGCAAGGAGAGGTTGGAAACAGGAAAAGAATGGGAAAATAAATCAGAGCGAATTCATAATGGCTGTAGTAAGCAATAGTTACAAAGCGTAGTTGTTAGCATTGGCGTTTTGCTGGTTCAAGCAAACCTTTTTTTTTTTTTTTCCTTTTATTAACAAGCCACAGCAGCAATACTTAATTTCAGTACATAAACCAGGAGGGTTGAAAGCCTTATATAATGTCTGCTTCAGACTGTGAGTTGGAGTCAAAGTATGAGAGAAAAAAAATAAGCTGGGTTGGCTGCTGTCAACATAAAGCCAGGCAGCAGGAGAACCGAAAGCTAGGGTGGTGTGAAGGGATTGCCTAAAAGAAGTCATGCTTTTATCTTTAAATCGTGGCATGAAGTGAAAGCCACTTGTTACCACTACTTTTGATGCAGATGACTCAGTAACATAGTGAGCAGTAGCAATGGTAAATGGCTGTTCTCTGGAATATCTCCACTCAGACAGGCTCTTATCTGTCCGGGCAAACGCCCCTGCTTTTACAGCTTCTCCGCCAAGATGCTTTTCTGCTTTGCCAAGCTGTAAGCTTTCCAGTGTACCAAGTAACTGCAAATCCTGGTCCATCCTCAGTGTTTTTTTCAAACTCTCCTCTTCAGGACTCTGCAACTGAGATTCTGCTTCCTTTATGGGTGTCAGAGAGTCAGACAGCTTCCTTCTCGTGCTCTGCACATCGGATCCCCGCCTGGCATTCTCATCAGCGACAGGCTTGAGGATTTCATACTTGGCCACTATTGGAACGATTTTCACAGATTCTTGCACTTTCCTTTCCATTTTTTGCAAAGTTTCTACTGAAGGCTGTACTGCTTTCTCGCTCTCTTTAGCTTTACTTGTCATGGTTACAATTTTCCCAGATACGGTATCATAGGACTTTCCTAGGGTCAACATTTTCTGCTTATTCTCCTCATTGGATCGTATTTCACTTTCCAAGTCCTCAAAGCTCTGCATTAGAACGGTACTGGATTTTAATATCTCAGGTGGAAAGGCACTTTTACTGCTCACAGTCACTACTTTGTATGCCAGATTTTTTTCCGATTCACCATCAACTACCTCAGAGGGTATTTTGTCTATAATAACCCAATCCTCAGTGCCCTATATTTGAGAATAAAAGCTAAATTAGAATATCTGAAGGTTTAGCTGTACTTCAGGAGCACTAAATTATGAAGACTTTTAAGAAATCACATTGCTTCTTCTGAAAGCATATAGTAACTTTTAGCATTGTACCTCTTAGAGCAGTTATCAAGCTAATAAACAGAATCACCTTAGGCAAAATACGATTTCTTTGCATATTCTCTCTCTTCAGAGGTCCATATGACATGGACCCAAAAATATTACTTTTGCCACACTATTTCTGTATTTGTTTGAAGCAAAATAGCATGTCAGCACATAATTACAATGTGATTGGGATCAAGCTGGGGTTAAAAATCACACATTGCAGTGGTTCACAAAGCTACAGTTAAAAACAAATTACAAAAATAGGGCAAATAAGCCCATTCAACTGTACCCCAGTTATTACAAACATGCTGTTAATGATGTTTTAGAATAGTACGCTTTTGTATGCAGCCTGTAGTGAATTTCCTTGTTTTCCTTAGAAGAACATCAACGCCCTTCAGGACTGTTTAAATGGAGAAGCACAACACAGCAAACTGTATAAACTAAGCATACTACTACAAATTCTGAATGAAACTTAATTGCAGCATCTTTTTTCCTCCTCATGCAAATGTGCTATGTGCTTTGCTTTGACTATGCAATCAGCATCCAGTTATTTGACTTTAAGACCACGACTTCTGTATTTAACTAAGCAAATTATGTAGTTTAAAATCGAATGAATTAAAAATAACCTCTAGGGATGATGGGATACTTTTCTGGATAATGATTTGATGAGAAGTAACCAAAGTGCCAGCAGATTCTCCTTCCTGCAGCTTCTTCTCTATCACACTTGGCTAATAGAAAAACCAATAAAAATATAAAGTTCACCATCACTCAGCATAATCTAAATTCACTTGACAATATAAAGGAAACTCATTCTCGTGACAGAAGTGCCCCATTCACCGTAATGTTCTCAGTGAGGTTTATGCTGGAAATGCATGCAAACTGCAAACAACATCCAAACAGCACCGTGCAAGTAGATTTCTAACTAGCAGAGAAATCAGTCTCCATTAGGAAGCCACAAGCTCTGGAGAAGACCCATTCCTCAGAATTTGGTCTCCAGATTATATCCCTATCTGAAAATTATGAAATAATAATAATAATAAAAAAAATATTAAAAGGGAGGGCTTGGAAAGGAAAAAATATAATAAAATAATAAATCATTACCATCCTTTCTGACTGCATTTCAATTAATTATTGTTTGTTTTTACCTGCATTTCAAGGAATGTAGTACCTCCCTTCTGCAAAAATATGAGTTTTTCTGATTTTTCTGTTTCTTCTTTGGTCTAATGTCAGGGGAATAAATGATTTTAGTAAATGGAGGGTATAAAGTCCACTATATTTTACAGTAGCTCATATTTCTCCACTCTACAAATTATTAATCACATGGAAAATTAGGAAACAGAACTAAAGGGAATCATTTTACAGCACAGAGGTTTCCAGTAAGAAGCGAAATCAGTGTCTCTCTATGGAGAATGCAAAGGAAACATGAACATACAAATGGTATGCACAAGTGTAGACCAAAACCCACTAAACTGAGCAACACCAGGTGTGGATGCATTGTGTTTGTTGCATTTCATATTATCCTTTAATTTAACTTTTAAACTGATTAAACAGATTAAAATTTAACTGAGACTGATGCCAGCTTACACAGCTTCCACCAACAGCCCAGAACAGGCCCCTCCACCTTCACTCTGGGCAAGGCTCTCTCCTGAGTTTGCAGCTCTCTCTACTGAAACAGGCAGAAGGCATGCCCAGCAAAGATTTCAGCTCTCCTTTTTTCCATGCTGGTATTAAAAGTCTAAGAAGCACCTTTCCTACAGAGGAGGCTAAATGTTTTTCTATTATCCTGTATTGTGACACCAAATCTCCTCACTTTTATCCCATCAGCGCTTTCCCAGTGCTATGAGAATCTCTCTACCTTGGACAACTGGGAACATTTTAAATGTTGATAAGACTCAATTTCCCAGGGCTTCTGAGTCCACCTTCTGGGCTGGCCACTGTTGTCATTTGGCCAGAGAAAGCAAGCCCCTGCAGAGCAAAATGGGTCTCTTGACAAACCCTTTCATATGACTTCAGTAACTACTATATTTAATACATAGTATTATGGAAGTTCTATGACTGGCATGATAAAAGGGTACATATACTCAAGAGGAAAGATAGAAATTTAAAGAGAAATATGAAAATAGAAAGGGATAAATGGCTCAACTCCCTGACTGCAGTGAGATACAAATCTCCTTTATTCCTAAAATGTTGGTTTCACCCAATCCAGGTCAGGTTAAACACTGTCAAGGACTTTGTCAATATGATGGCTTTCATATTCTACAGCTATCTGGCCACCATCACGGAAGGTATTTAAACTATATTTTCCATCATTAAGGAAAACCAAAGCATCTCCCCATCCATTCTAAGAAACCTAGTGGTGACTGACAGGCTTAAAGTCACACTGACCAAACACTCAGGTGCCACATGCTCAAAGATCACGTTTTGAGAAGACATATTTTCTTTTCTGTTCTTGTTTCATGATAAGGAGTAGCTACAGGTAACAACACTGACACTGAACACATTTTAAAGTGGATATGCTAAATGAAATGTATAACTTTGACTATCAGAAGGCAGTATACTATCTTGACTGCCTCTGCATGTCTTAGTAGACATCAAGGTGCTGATTTTGACCTATGGATGGCTTCAGCTTTTTTCCTGAAAAAAATCCCCTCTCATCAGTACATGTGAACTGAAACCATCTCACTTACTGGGACCAAAGGAATGGAAAGATATTACCAACAGCAGAAGTCACCTCAGAGTTAGGCTCTAATAGCGCCAGTCTGCTCTTAATTTTCCACAGAAATACCTTTGGATGAGATTCTGTGAAACACATGTATACTACTTGGATGCATGTAAGGTATATGTGCATCTAAGTAACTGGATATTGCTTTTGAGCAAGTCATCTACTACTAACAAGACAAGAGATACCAGATGATTCTTACCCTTTCCTTTCCAAATGAATGGATAAATTCAGATCTGTTTCCTCAGGGTGAAGCCTACATAGCTGTGTAATACTTTGCTACTTCTTGTGCGTTTTAATTAAAACTTTTTATTAAATTCCTAAAGTAATTAGGATATTAAAGCAACAGGGTGGTCCTAAATTTGTTTCCCCTGCAACCTTCTGGTTCAGGCTCAGCTAGCCACCCTTTCCAACAGTTCCTTACAACGGTATTATAATAAATACATCCTGTTCATCGTACTTACAACTTTACTTTTTAGAAGGATAAACCTTTATTTTTCATTGCAATCAAACCAACCTGTTTGTAGGGTCTGTTATGATTCCTGAACAAGGCAGCAGGACAACCACTAAAACGCCTCTGTGCTCCCCTCAAAATGGAAGCTTTGAGCACTGAGCCTGCTTTTTAAGGTATTTTAATCCAGCTTGAAGGCCACACTAATACATGTCTGGTGCCTGCATCAGCCACTGGGTATAATGTGGTAGAGGAGGAGGTGAGAGCCCTTTCCTTGGCAATATCCCTTTCCCTGTGAGGAGAAGCTGACACTTGCTACCTGCATGCCTCCAGGGATGCCCTTCCCCAGAGTTGTGGGTCTGCAACACCAAGCTCTGAGGTGAGAAAGCAGAGCACTCGTTCAATTTACACTTTCCAGACAACATCACATCAGTGCTGTGGGCACAGAAACAAATCTCGTGACCATTTATTGGTCTCTAATGCTAAAACCAAGATGTACCCATGAAGATAATTCCTGTGAGACAGAAACCAGATATCCATTCAAAATAGAATAAAAAATTAACTTTCAGGCAGACCACACATATGCTTATTTCTTTTTGCTCCACTGGACTTAAGCCAAGACACTGGACTATGTATGTTATTGCAACACAAATGTTGCCTTGCTACCCCTACATGTCCTTATCTACCTGAAGATCAAGTAAACAGCAGCTTTTAAATGGGCAAGTTTCCTCCAAGCACTTTGAGACTGCACAGTGAACAAGATTTTTTCACACATACACACTGCATGAAAGTGCAGACACTTAGCCATCTGCACTAGGTCTTCAATGACAGTATCCAGCAGACTGTAGCAACCACCAGGTCCCTTATGGAACTGGCCAAAAAGGTCTAATTATCATCATGATTTCTTCTCTGTCTTCAGAGACTGAGAGTTCTGTCCCTTCTCTGTATGTTCTTTTCACACTTGGCACCATAGCCCCCACCCGTCTCGCTACACTGTTGCTCCCAACCAGTCAGCATTGTTTAAATTTTCTCTCCATCACTTTCATGGTTTCTTTCATGCATGGCTGGACTTCCTCAAGCTCACCCAACCTGTAACAACGCCTGTATTTTGCACCCTCAAAGAGACCCAGTTCTGCCACACGACTTCCAGTGAATTTAATTCTCTGTATACACATATATTTATATATGTATATATTTAGGGTATCTGCTCTTCCTCCCGTCTTTGCTGCTAGAGCCTGCATCCTGAGAAAAAGGGAGTGCCTGCAAGCAGGGACTGGCCTCTAACTACAGCCTCTAACCTAGTGAGAGCTGCTATAAGTAAAAATGCATAGACAAATACATAATGAAGCCTTTCAGCTCACGCTGACCTCTTCAGGCACTAGTGGTTCAATCATAGGAGCATCCTCCTGCCTTGCTGCAAGCCGAACGGGAGATGTGGAAAGCCTCTTCTCCCACTCATTAGACACAGTCGTTTCTGTGGAGGTTTCCAAGAAGGTGCGTTTCAACTCGCTTATATTGGTCTGATGTTTCATCAGATCTTCCTGGGTTTTGTCTAGATCCTAGACAGTTTTAAAAGAATAGAGCAGTTTGTGATACATCCTAAGCCAACCAAACTTTAGAGCCAAAACACACAACTTGGTTAGTATAGAGGGAAGTAACAGCTCAGGGAGCCAGGGAGCACAGCACTAACACAACACTCTGTGAAAATGTGGCATTTTGAAAGAGAACAGCATAGCATATCTCGTACAAGTGAGTCTAAATACACTCTTAAAGAGCCTATCCATATCGCTGGAATTTGCACCTGATAAAGAGGCTCCAAACAAACATACATATGCGCGTGGAGGCACACACATATACGCACACGCATATATCGATATTGATAGTACAAGTTAGAGGAGTCATCATAATCTGAGAGAAAAAATCATCTATTAGCAGGTGGGAGTACACAGTTCATGCATCATAGTGCAGATCCACAGTTTACCACTAAAACTAACACACATGTACGTACATGCACTGGTATATACCAATACCAACCTCTAACATAAGATTACTATGTTTGACATACACATTTTCACCCTGTATTCGCTTAATCAGACTATTCTGAAAGAAGTGAAAAAGAAAGGGAAAGGTAAGGGACACAGTATTGAAAGGATACAAAATGCTGTTTCTACACATTTCTTCACAGAGAACCGACAGTAACATGCTGAAAGAGGCCAATTACCTCCAACATTGATACCTGAGAAACTTCTAGACCTTTTGTTTCTGTACCTGTGCCTTTAGATCTCCGTCCTCCTCTTGATCCGACTGCCAGCATGAGAAAGATTGGAAAACAACACCTTACCCACTTGTATGAACGAAGGCTTTATGAACATTGGTGAGAGGTACACACTAGGTTAAAATCCCATTTTCTCTTCATTAAGGGTTTAAGGAGAAGGAGTAGACACACTGGGTTTGCACGATTTTCCTAATTCAGAGCAAACATCCTCTTGTCAAATTTTTTTTTTTTTTTTAAATTATCAAAGGGGTATTAAACATTTTCCTTTTATAAATATTGCTACCCTCCACATTCATAGATCTCTATTTATGGAGCAGCAGTTGCACCTTCTCACCAAGGTCACGACTAGTCTAGGACTGAAGAGCAACAGCAAATGCTTTGGAATTCCATAATCCCAGAATCTGGGCCACAAGCAAAGCTTTGCATAAACTCACCATGGGCAAACAATCTGCAATGCTTTCTACAGAAGGAAGCACATTTTATTTGCTTAAAATGCTATTTTTCCTTAACCATAGTCCTTTTCTGTATTTCTGTAATTTTATTTCATATTTAGCCTGTATATATTCTTTCAGGACCTATCATCTGGAATGGCACACACATCCCGTCCACTTCAGTGCACATTTTCAAAAGCAGTGCCCTAAGGACTGCCTCAGCAGCCCTGTTTCCAAGGGTGCAATTTTCAGGTAGCAGATATACCACACATTTTGAAAATCAGGTATCTGTAAGAAAAACTGAGATGTGCTGTATCTTCTCCTCTAAATAAAGACAGTAACTAGGGATATTAACATGAATTTTTGAGGAATAAACTGAACATTTTAAATGCCACAATTTTATGATTATGTTTTACTTTTTGCAGGGCTCAGAAGATATGGAGTGGAAGAAGCACTTCAAAGCATTTTGCACTCCTGACTCATCTCAACAGACTTTATGTTGTTGCACTGTTTGAATTCTTTTAATGCCCATGCTGCTATTTTATTGTTAATTTTTCATATAGTCCTAATTAGACTAATAAGTCATGGGAAAATCTGTTGATTACTTTACAACTCAGTTCGAATTTATTCTATTTACAGCCAAGTCTGAATCGTCCTGACGTGTCACACAGAAAATTTTTTCTTGACGATAATTTTAACGGTCTCAAATATTAATGAGATCCTTCTGAGAACCTAGAGTGGTGTTTGTGGTAAGACTCTGTCTTCTAGCAGACGTCAGACAAAATTCAGCTCATGTCTGCAGCTGCAACCATATTAATTATGAAAGCATTATATGCACTTCAGTGAAGTCACATAGGGTTGAATTTGCCTGCACAATCTATGTACCATATTGTGGATATGAGGCTTCTCAGTGCAAGGAAAATACAAACATTTTACATTTTTCCTCTGAAAAGGATACCTGGAGTAGTAGCGGCAATATGTGAAGATGCTATGTGAAAGTATGTTAAAGAAAAACCTTAGATACTAAAAATGTGAGAATACCTCTATTCAGTACATTTGAAAACTGCTTTTTATTGTCTTTTCCCCACTCTCCCAATCAGGCTTCAAAGTATAAGAGCAAAGAAGTGAACAAAAACCCCCAGGGCATGATCTGGCCAGCACAACCCCCGGGCTAGGCAGCACTGGCGCGGGTGACACCGCCACTGCCCCACTAACTGCGCAACGCAGAGGCCTTGCAGCTTCCAAACCCAACTCAGAGACAAGAGGAGCCCACAGGGAGCACTGGAAGCTCGACTCTCCTAGCAAAGCTCTCCCGCTTGCAGGCACGCACATGCACACACGCGCAGGGAGGGATCCTGCACTGCCGCAGCAGACATGCGGTTTAGCCCCGAGGCCCAGGGTCGGGAAGAGACGAGGCAAAACGCTCTCCCCTGCCATAGCTGGGTGCCGGCGACTGTACAAACCTCGGTGGCAGTGGTCTCACCATCAGCCGCAGTATCCGTCTGCTCACTGTCAGTCTATTGGGTTAGACAAGTACCCGGGTCCCGAGAGGAAGGCAGGAATAAAGAATAAACCCAGCTCATCAGTACACGCGGCTCGCACGGGGAACTGTTCAACTCAACAGCCCTGTGAACTGCATTAGCATTGCTTTTCAAACAAAGCACATGTCAAAGAAGCAAAATAAAAATGCTATATTAGTAAACAGAACAGACTCAGAGGAAGACTCGAGGCGTACTGTACACAGTATATGGCTTTACTGGAACAAATTTATAAGCCAAAAGAAACATTACTGGAAAAATGTTATTTGAATAGCAGATATTTTTTTTCTTAAGAAAGCCAGGTAGCTTTAAAAAAAAAAAAATGGGGAAAAAAGTGACTAACATTTTCTAAACAAACTTTTCCTCCCATAATGATTTTTTACAGAAAATTATTGAACTAATTTTTGATCTAGCCAATATAAAGTGGGGGTTAAATTTTTATCCGGAGGGGAAAAAGATAATTAAAAACAACAACAACAACAACAACAAAGAAGCTACTTTAACAGTCATCTGACTTTCAGCCCCTCATTTGTACAGAGGTTGTTCTTGTCTCCACATTTTTAACACCATGAGGCTGTCTGCATTACCAAGGAGTTCAAACAATGGTACCCCCAGCCCAACTACTGTCTGTCTGTGGAGTAATGGTAAAGCTCAGATCCCACTCGGTTCCAATAAAGAGCAGCTGATAATTGTTAATGATAGTAAAAAGAAAGAAAACTGCCATTAAAAGAAGAAAAAAAATACTTCTCATTCCATTGAAGAATATGGATGAAAGCAGGAGAAAACAAAAATAACTCCCCCCACCCCCCAAACACTTACTAGGTATGAGTGATAAAAATGAAACAAAGCACAGCATTGCACAGACTGATCTATCCCTGCTTTGTATGAAGAACATCTTAGTGGAGAACACAAGTGTCAAGATTAATAGAGAGTGGAGTGGAGGTTGCTACAGACTGAGAAGAGAGCTCAAAAAACTACACCGATGTCAGGTAATCATATGGAAAACTAGTAAGTAAAGTTCACCCTACTGCCCCAGACTGGCACATCCAAGTTGTTTTGATAGCAGTAAAAGCTCTGGTTTCTGTTAGTGATTTTCTGTGGTCCTTAGATAATCTAAAGTAACCCAGGCAGGCAATGTGTTTCATAAGACAATGTTTTGATTTTTTCATTGCTTTGTTTTTTATTCTTTGAAGAGCTTGTATTGTTTGTATGACAGACAGAAGAATAAACAAGCATTTTGCACTACTTGCTAAGTGCACGAATGCAAGTTACATGTAATTTTTCAAGCCATGACCACTCTTCATTCAGACAGACCACATTTATTTTTAAATGGAAGTGTAATGTCAAAGTAAGTCTATTAGGCTGGTTCAGTTGCTTTCACTAAAGTGCTAGAAAATTGTTTCTTTATTAATAAAGGATCTCATGTCTTTATAACATTATAGGCAATTGCAAAGGTATGGCAATAGAAAAAAAAAGAATGCATTGTCACTCCTATTTACTAAAAAAGAAAAAAAAATTTAGAAACAAAGAGGAATTAATGAATGTAGGCATTTAAAAAGAATTAAAAATTGTGTCAAGGCACTGTAACACAAGTCTGGCACATATGGTTCATTTAAGAACTTGAAGTCAATAGAAAATTAGCTGCTAAGGTACAAACACATAAGCCAGTAACTCCAAGGGGGGAGATTCTGTCTTTGACTGCACGGACTGACTCCAGATGCATAGCTCAAGGGAGAACAAGCTCAACAATGTATGACATTGGTACAGGATACTAGCTGTAGTCTTCTGCATCTCTGTGTGCAATCTTTTGTGAGCTGTGGGGGCGGGAAAGGTTCCTATTCTTTTTGCCATAAGTGGAATGAAATCCTAAATAAAGCATAAAACTTGCTTTATTGCAAATATATGTCTGCTAATAAGCCAATCAACAGCCATGGAGTCAAAGTCAGCATTACTGAGCTACTTGAAATAAAGATCTAGGGTTATCACAGAGCAGGGAATGGTGAGTTAAGGCTGAGCAAGGCAGGTCTCTGGAGTGAAGAGTAAGAAAGGCCAAGCTCAGCTCCAAGACGGGTACAGCTGAGGTGGGGCTGATGGGCAGGCGAGGGCTGGAGCAGGACAGAAGGCAGCTTCTCCTGACGTGCTGTGGCTGCACCTCTCCTACCTTGTGATCATAATTGCTGTGATTTGTTTTGCCAATGTAATGCAGACATGCCCGAGTTTAATACATATTCACTTTCATGCAATATTTTGAACAAGAAATACCCCGTGGATTAGGCACAAGTCTGTGTTGTCTGCCAGGAAGCACTGCCAGAGTAATCACCCTCATAAAAGAGCGATACTAAAAACCCTATTTTAGATTTTTTTATGCTCAATACTTCCTAACTTTACTAACAAAAAGAAGTGCTCATTTCTGAAAAAGGAACAGACTAATGTATTACATAAACACTGCCTCATTATTGCCTCTAGAGCTGGAACTATATTAATGCTGTTATTGCTATTAAATTAATCCAAGTGCAGAGCTAATGCAAATTGAGACCTAAATGCTGTCTCAAAATGAGGACAAGAAATGAGACAGCAGCATTTTGGGTGTCTTTTATCAGAAATTGCACAATATTTTTTAGTTGTAGGGCATCACAGGGCCAAAAGCATCTAAAGGCAATGTTTTCACAAGACAAATTAATGTGACTTTTGGCTTTCCATAAAAAGGAAATGAATTCCTGCACCAAGTCTTACAAAACCAACAGCAGCAGATGAGAATGTTCAAGCTAGTTTATTGAAGAGAGCTACTGCAATGGACTATCGACAAGTGGCCAAGGTGGCTTTTTACATGGCCAACTGGTCAGCGATTATGTGATCTGGTTTTCTTTCTTTATATACAAGGCAAAATCATACTTTTGTATTTGAAGCTGAAGAAGAAAATAGAAAATTAAGGAAAACCTGAACTCGTTATTTTATCCTGTCAACAAAGAACCATCAGGCTCCAGCAAAAACTGAGATGCCAGTTACTCTGTTACTGAAACAGATTGCTTTCTGACTTCTGGATATACCATCACATCCACAGTACCCAGAACCACTGCAGACTCCTACTGCAGCTGGTTCATCTGCCCTTGATGACCCTGGTTGGCTTGAGGCATCAGTTTTGGCAGTGCTAATCTAACACTGCAAATGTCAAGACAGCCCACATGGCATGCTCCTGCAACAGCTGCAGAACAGCTGTCCCAATCTAACCCCTCACTGATACATTGGATTTAACCATGGGAAAACAATTTAATCTGCAGCAGAGATGGGATCAAGGGCTGAAAATTGAGATCCAGGTTTTGCTGGATCAAAAAGCCTTTTCTGGGGTTCGGCTACAGCTGATAGCCTTTTGCGGAAAAGCTGAGTCCATCTGGACTTTGAACATACTGAAGCTGGTGCTCATCCTCATCGAAAAGCTAGTTATATAAATAAATGTAGATACATATGCATATATTTGCATACTTCATTAGTTATGCAGGAAGTTATATTTAATACCCACTATTTAGATATCTATTCTAACCTTAGCAGAAACTGATAGAGGGAAGAAAAAAAGTCTTATCATTTAGTGCAAGTCTCTGCACCAGCTGACACAGTTCAAGCCAAGCCTCTTCCACACAGTGTTGTGCCTAACCCTGGGCTCCAAGCTGTACTTCCAGCATGAGAAAAAAAAAGAAAAAAGAAGAAAAAACCAAACCAAAACAAAAAACAACAACCCCCAAACCAAAAAAAAAAACCCTTCTAACATATCAGCACAGACAGAAATGAGGCTCTGAAAGTAGGACCACTATTGCAGCAATCTAACACTGGTTAGGACTGAAGCACTGAACACAAAAAAGAGTGTGTTCGATGCCGAGGTACACACCTCTTCCTCTGAACTGTCACTCAGGTCATTGGCAAGTGAGGCACTCAAGGAGGCCGCCTTGGGCTCCAGGTAGCAGAGGCACATAGCCAGAGGAAAGGAGAGAGTGAGGGCGTATGGCACTGAGAAAGAGGCAGAGAGCAGAAAGAAAAAAATGAAGAGGAAGCAAGGCACGAGGGAGGGGGAGCGGATGGGGAGGTAGTGCTGCACACTGGCAGGCAGGAGGTTGGTTTCGGAGAGATTAGGGAGCGACAGGTAGCCATCGTCATCCAGGAGGGAAGGAAATGACTCTGGAAGTTGCAAGGAGAAGGAAAACAGTGTTCCGCCTTTGCCAGCTTTTTGCTTGTAGCCAAAAGCCATGTCTTGCTCGGCGGAGCAAACTCGCCCCTTTCTGTCAGAGTCTGGCTCCGACTCGCTGTGTTTTGGAGTGCTCTCTTTGAGGGCCTCACAGCCTAAGGACTTTGTCCGAGTGCTCTCCTTGCATCTCCTGCGAAGCTTTGCTGAAGATACATGGGGGCCAGGCTGAGAGGATGGCGAGGAGTGGTGGGGGTCAGTGCCAAGCAAAGATGGCTGGTGACAGAGAAAGAGCAGCAAACAAGGCGCAAAAGCAAAAGGACAAAAAGAAAACTGTAATTAGTTAATTTTCTTCCGTGATGATAAATAATATATATTATATATATAGAATTATAAACAGTATTTTAACACCACAGCTTTCCACTGAATCGAACGGTGCATGTTCCCATGCCACACATCACAGGTATTAGCGAATCACGCTTCCAGCTTACAAAAGGCAACTTCTTGAGTCAACGTTTGTCTAGTCCTTTGCAGCACAGGATTTACATAAAAGCCTCCACGGCCACACGGGGAGTTTCAGGTGCTGCCAATTTCCTCTTACTGCAAGACTGGTTTCCAATCATAAGGAGCTTTCAAACATGAAGTACATGGAGAGCAACAAAGAAGGAAATACATTTCTAATACCAACACGACTTGTAGCAGCATTCTTGCACTCAGGAGGAGACCCGGTGGGGGCCAGATGCTTCCCATCTATGCCTTGGACAATCTCAGTAGTAATAATTAAAACTCCAAGGACTTAAAATTCCTCCATTGCAATATTAAAAAAAATTAAAAAAAATAAAAAAAATCTAGCCCCTAAACCAAATTAAAACATATTGTGGTTTGGTGGGAGAGAAGAAATCCATTCATCAGCTGCTACTGATGGAAATAAACAGCTCGACAGCTATCCCAGAAGCCACTTCCTCAGCACAGCTCCCACCACTGGTCCCTGCTGGGCATCCCCACAGCCTTGCCTTCACCTCTGCTCAGTGTGAGCCCAAGCAGGCAGTGCTGGGGGCTCACCCTCTCGCAGTCATGCAACCTGCCAGCCCCTCCACGCAGCCACATCATCGCCCGTACACTGAAAGAAGGGAGCTGAGACTTGTGGCTCAGCAAACCCCATCATCTTTCACTGGGGATCTGAAGGGGGGATGGCTAGAGAGAGGTCCTTGCCCCACACAGCCACATCTCATAATCAAAATGTGACCCTTTACCCATAGTGAAGAGCCAAAATGCCCCTGATGCTTTTGCTACAAGTTTTACCACAATGCCAAGAATACTGGCTACCAACAAGCAGGATTTTCTTTGATATATGCCACTTGGAGGACATTCAGCTGGCCTTTCAGGTCATTTGAGGACAAAAAATTGATAGAAGGAGGGAAGTGATTCAGCAGAAATGGTGACTGTCATTTCACATGCTCCCTACAAGCAGACACCACTGTCATTACCAAAATGCATACCCCAGTATGACACATCTGCCACAATGCTGATAGATCAGAGATGTTTTGGCCAAAATCTACCAGGTGCACATAGCTGAAGTGGCCCACAGGATCCATGACCAAACGCTAAGTGCCTGAGCTGCTCCATCCATAGTGCATCTCCCCAAGGAGTTATAATAGCCATTTAACTTTCACTCCAGGCTCCCAAAAGCAAAATGACTTTAAAGCCACAACAACATTTGCCTCCAGTTCAAGCTGGTGTTGAACTGGAGGCAAAAAGCAGATGCATGTTATAGACACAGGTTGATACTAAGCCTGAACTTTACCAGGTATATTAATGGTAGGAATGGGATGTAAGCCAAGTAATTACATGGAAGAACTGCTTTCCTTCCTCTTTAGCATTTCCTTTTATCTCTTCTCTAACAATCTATCAGTTCAAGGAATCTGTATTCCCAAACTAAGCAACCAGAACCAAGCCTAGCTTCAAACCACTTACAAATGTCTTTATGGGTTTAATGCAGTAAGCTCAAGTCAACATTTAATGCTGATGGACTCACAGGTTTTTGTGTGAGCTAAATACACACACAAATATAACTTCTCTTTATATTGTAAAGGTAAAAATCCAAAGTAAATGTATTATTTTCTAATACAGTCTATTCACTTACTGACATCTTTACAGTGTTAATATTTAGAATAACTTCTGGTACTTAAATACACATGGATAAAACAGAGACAAAATGTCCTAATGGAAAAGCTGAAAACATCTAAAACATTTATATGCGCTTAAAAAGGGATTTGATTTCAAGCTTGTCTTGTGTTTCTTGAGACATTCTCTTTATGATGACAGACAAATCTGTTAGCAGGTCCATGTGGAAGCAGGACTGAGATCTCTGTAGGATTACAGAACTGAAACTCTATTTATAATGATTTAAACAGAATTCATCTCTTGAGTGGGGGGTAAAAATCAATCATTTGAGCATATTTAAGTTCCATCAAATTAGTCTCCTAAAATATCTTTGAGTATTTCTAGCCATATGTAAGGAATAACTAGATGATCTTCAAAATGCAACTGATCCCTTCATGGACTTAAATTAACAAACAGTTGGAACGGAACTAGCTTCTGTTGGATATTTTCTACATATTTGATTTTCACCCTTCTTTCTCTATGTGGAAACTAATGGAGTTTCAAGAAGACCACAGTTACATTTTGTAGAGATTATCTTTTAAATGTTACAATTACAGCACATACTTTCAACCTTTTCTCATTCACAATTTTAAGTAACTCAGTTTGTTTCTGGTTTTCAGTACCTTAACTGCAACTCTTCTTGAGGACTTGATCCTTTCACTATGTTGCTTATCATGGCATTATATGATAAAGCTAAAAGTTCAGGTTTTAACATTTGCATACTTGACAGTTCTGGGGATGTAAATATATATATGTTCTTCTTCCTAAAAGATGAGGGTTAACCTTACTTGTATAGCAAGTGCATTCCACAGTACACTTTCTGAATGTTATTCTACCATATTTGTCTTGCCTGTCAATCTCTATTCACTATTTTCTCCATCCTCCTGTTTGGTTTACCCTGTATTAATATCTCAGTAGATAGTATGCACAACCATGTGTGTATGTGTGTGGGGTGCTGCTGGGATTGAAGATGATGAGGGATGACTCAAATTTAACAATTGAGAAGAGAACCATCAATAAAAACTGCTTTCTTAAACACAAACTTCAAACAAGTGAAGCAAATACTTTTGTAAGCCAGAAAAAAAATTGCTTGTAACAGCAGAATAATATCCAGAAGTTAATAGAGAAAAAATGCCCACTGAAATTCATGCAAAGAAACAGTGTTACGAGAAGGAGAAGAGGAATATTTTAAAGCACAGAGCTATATACAAGAATACAGAACTATTTTGTTGCCTTGTCAAAATAAAAAACCAGGATGGCCATACTGAAGTCAAAATATGACCGAAAACCAGAAGAATAAACGTGTACCACCAGGCTACTTCTGGGTATTTCCTGAAGAGTTGCTGAATGCTGTGTGGAAAACATCATTCTGACTGTTAAACATATTTCAAAAAACAGTCCAAGGCAGGAACTAACTTTTACAACATCATACGAAAACTGAAAGGACTACAAAAACACTGATTCAAGACACGCATATGCACATAGTGTATTTCCTTTCACAGAACCAGTTTTATTTCCTCATTCTCCCCCCTCCCTAAAAATTCTATGTTTCTCCAAGCACTCTCCAGACAGCCCTGTTTAATACAAAACTGTGAAAATTCTACCTTGGTGTCATGGCGTATTGCTGAAATCGGGGTGACTTCCTCTGCTCTCTTCTTTTTGCCCTCTTCATCAACTTTGTCCTCTTCTGTCTTTTTCTCTGGAGTCACAGTGGTTATCAAGTTGGTCTGAGAGATGCCCTTTGTTGTGGCGTACTGGCCAGTACCAACCTCTGCAGCAGACACAGAATCCTTCATGTACATTTCATGGTTTTCATTCACTGATGCTAAAAGCAAATATTTAAAGAGGGAAAATCTGAAATAGCTTTTGCTGAGAAGCTGCATAAAATCAAAAAAGGTGTTTTAGAAAAACATTTGAAATAATGCTGAAAACACAACTATGTCATGTTTCAGGAAACCAGAAGCATGTGCATACATTTAAATAAACTGTTTACTTGAAATGAAGCTCATAGCTTTTATATGCATACACATATATTATGGATGTGTATACACACATTACTGTAGTTAATGTGTGTATACACAGTTGTTAAATGTTAGCAAGCCGTTAAAATTACTACTGTAGTAAAACACCAGACAAAAAAAAAAAAGCAACGCGTTGCCACAGTTATCGGGCAGGAAACATAAGGAGAACCAGCTATGACATCAGCCATGGGGGTGGAAGAGATTTTTTTTCTAAAATCTGTCAGAATATAAAAATGCAGATCAAATGCAGATTTAGTAACATGCTGCATTACAGAAAATGACAATATTGATATAACACAGGCATAATACCTGAGAAAAAAGAAATGTGATCCTTGTATTATTGAGTACTAAAGTCTGCCAGTTAGGTGAGCTCATTATCCTAAAAAATTCTGCAAAGTGATGATATTCAGTTCAGTGCACCAAACCAGAATATTTTAAGATGCAAGTGCTCAATAATTAATCAGATTTAAATATAAAAGTTATTTTGAAAGAAACAGTACCTTTACAGATAGAATGTGGTCAAAACTTTAACACATTCCCAGACCTTGCTCTGACTATTGGGTAACTAATTTCTAAACCCAATACGATTATTCAAATTTATAAACTCACATCTGTAACAAATGATAGAGTCTGGGTCACAATGTAAGCACAATGCAGAATGTTACAGACACATCTGCATTATAGTAACAACGCTAGTGAAGAGATCATAAGCATTGATTTAAAAAACCTCTTTCCCCCATTTTCACTTGGGCAAATTAACATCATAAAAACCTTGCAGAGTCTAACAAATGCTGTATAAAGGGTTTCAGGTATCTTATCTCTTGGGATAAATTTAGGAGGCAGGAGAAAGCAAAGGGAGTAGAGGGAGACATCTTGTTTAGATGTTACAAACAAAATAATGCAGAAGGATAATTTCTGCTTTGAAACACATGCACAGCAATCAGGTCACCAGTTGCTTGGTAACGAGCAAGAAGCACATCAGAATTAGAAGATTCCAAAATAATTAATGACAAACAGCACCTTTAGAGGGAAAGAAAAAGGCTTGTCACTTGTACTTTTAAATCAAATCGCTCAATTCCCACCACCAATTATACTCATTGCAATTTGTGATATTCTGCAAGATAATTCACCTTTTTTTTTAATCTGTAATGAATCTGAGTTTAGCCTCAGTCTCTTTTTTTCTACAAAAATAAACTACAACACTACAACCTCTTTTTACTCAACAGCTGACAACAGTAATAGCTGATGGGAGCTGACACTCTGAACTACACACTGATTTAACCAAAGTCAGCAGCAGAACCGTGACCTCCATGAACCAAGGATAAAGAAAGGAAGGATGTACTATTAACCTATGTATGTTACTCTCCATTTCATACCTTCAAAAATAATGTATGAAAAAGGTCTCAGTGCTCATTGGAGCAGGATGTGAGGTAATTGGAATCAAGTGTTATTACTCAAAGGAAATAATTAATAATTTCTGGATTGTAACAAACTTAAGTGAAAAACCTACACAGGAGAAAATCTCAGATTCAATCAAAACCCAAACAGTCACACATGCAAACCCTGAAAAAGCGTTGAAGCCTGACTTTCTTGGGCAGGCAGGTCCATCCCATCCTTCCCCAAAGCAGGGAAGCAGATACGAGGCCAAGGACAGAGTGTCTGTGAAGAGTGGGCTCCAAAGGACATCCTCCAGCCAAACACTTTGTAAGAACGCCGGCAGAACATTAAGCATGGAATTTCTCTGCATCCTCCTCTACCCCTGCACTGCACACGCAGGTACTCGCGGCCTCCACTCAGCCACATCTCAAGGAGAGGAGATGATGAGCTTTACACCTAACCTAAAGCAGTGACCACTGTGATGATAACTTTTGACAAGGTCAGTTGAGAGGACCTTACCCCCATCTAAGCTGCGAGACATGGTGTAACGTTTGCTAGAGGAGCGCTCAAAGTAAGGTGCAGGACGGTCTATGAGGGCACTGGCTCTTCTCGTCTGGGCCTGTGTCCGGCCGCTGTAGCGAAACTTGGAGCCCAACGTGAGGAACTTCTTTGGAGGTGCTTCTGGCAGCAGGAGCCTAAAACACACCAAGCAGTGCACGTGTTATTCCCCCTCCTCCAAAATCAGTCCACTGTTTCTGCACAGGAGAGAAGACGACTGCTGGGTATCACTCTCCATCGTAACCTGCGCCTCACCGGCCTGTGGCTAAAAGGGAATCAAAGGATGCCACTCATACAGCATGACAAAACCACTTAGCTAAAGCATTTGAAGATCTGAGTTCTTCGAAATGGGCAAGAATAACTCAGCTCCTTCATGCTTGAAAATCAGATTTACTATTTTCTGATTACCAAAACTAAAAATAAGGTGTTCCTTTTACCAGAGGCCCCCACTGGGCTGGAATGCAGATGTAGCTCTTCAAATTTAACATGGTGATGTTATGCTGAGGACAGGGCCAGAATTGTTTTCCAGTGAATGACAGGCAGTATTCATTCACAGGGGTGTAGACATTTTTCAGGTTTGAGCTCTCCCCCCCTCTGTATTTTGGGCATGGTATCTGGCTGAAGAAGCCATTCTCCTGCTTTGGAGTTTATGCTTCAGACACTGATCTTTCATTAAAAATCAGAAAATACCCCAAAAAATGCACACGTCATTTCTCTTTAGATCTTTTGCTGCTAAGACTGCATTTCATATGAATGTACAGACAGCCTGAACCAACAGTTTTAAGAAAGGAGGGAAATTCTTCAGTACTCCCAAATATTCCCCAGAGGAAGTTCTTAAAGACTGAACACACTTTCAAACTCTTGAAAATATCACCCTTTTGGGTTTTCCTTGTTAAGTACCTATTTAATGACTATCTTAGCACAAACTAATTACAGCACTTATTTCACTATCCGAAACTTTCCTCAGTTCTTAGAAGTCAAAAAAATAGCTGCAAAACTCCTTAGTAATCCAAAAATTACAGCTGTGGGTTGGGTATTCTGGGTGACCAAAAAAAACCATGGCCTACTACTGTCTGTACTTTCATATATAATTAAATATAAATATTCTTCTTTTTAAACTCTTACCCACATCCCCCAGCAATCTTCCATATAAGTTGTTTTCCCTATGCAAGCTTCTATGCAGTAGTGCAGCAGAATCCTTCATCTCTTTAATTATAGCAGCTGATAATATCGTTGCACAGATAAAGCAAAATGATTAATTAGAACCATATGGTGATTTTAAGCAGTATCCATCTGAAATAGCATGAATAATTTGGGTGCAACATCTCAAATTTTGAAAAAGCAATAATCTTCATCTGCTCAGAGGTACCTCATGATCAAAAAGACAATTTGATTTGAAGGGTTTTGTCTCTGCTGACAGAATTGATATTTTTCTGTTGCATTTTATATCACACCTTTAGGAAAAGAAATCCACATACCTGAAAAATGTATGGTGTTCAACACACACTTTCCATAAGCGCTTTGCAGCACGATGATTTGGCAACTTAAACCCAATAGTGCTTTCAAACTGCTCAAACTAGGTAGGAAAAAAGAATAAGTATGTTTTTGGTGCTGTGCATCTATTTTTAGACAGTGTACACAGGTTCATCTTCATTTCCTCCGTCTGCATCACCTCATTGCAAGGGTGAACGTATATGCTCATGTATATAACCACACATGTACATATTCTACAGAAAGTATTTTGGGAAAGAAACTGTGAATGATAATCTATGGCAGCATTTGAGGATCACTTCTGGGGGGAAATATTGGTAATGAGCAAGAGATTTTTAACAGTGACAGTGATGTTTTTTATACCCTATACAAAGAGATCAGTTAAGATTTGGGAGACTTCTGAGAGAACATCATTCAAGTGTTTTAACCCTGTTGATTTATTTTAACCCCGTTGATTCATTTACCCCAGTTTAAACTACAGTGGGAAGCCTGGTAATAGCTGGAGGTGAGCAGCAGTCCTCAGGGACTGATCTGGTCTCACACAGCCTTAGATTAAGGATATTTACAGAGAAAGTACTACCATTAGTAAATCACAGTGGTTAGAGCTAATTCATCTGAGGAGGAGGAGGCAAGACAGGTAATTGACAAGAGTTGTCCAGAGATATAAAGAGACCTCTTTAGATTGTGCTACAAATTTATATATTCCAGACGCAGAGGCTGTGCCAGCTGTATCTGCTGTAACATGTTGATGGCTACATGCAGACAGCTGAGCAGAAAACAGAGTTTCTGTGATGGAGGGAAGGTAGACAGAAGGCCACTTGTAAGGAAGTCTGCATCCCTACAGGAGCTGACAGGGAAATAAGGCAGGAAACAGCAAAATAATAAAGATGATGTGGGACAGTGAATCACATTATCATCAAATGTAATTTGGACAGAGGCTGCATTGATTATTTTGCACACAGAACTATGACCTGGTCACAGGATACTGTGTACCAAGACCAGCAGAGCTCAACAGGGTAGCAGTGGTGGAGAGCTTCAGTGCAGGCACTAGGAATGACAGTGGCTATTTGTCTGGTTTTTTTAAATCAAACTCAAGGCTGGAAACTCATTTCCTAAAACTCTGTCTGCAGAGGGGAAGGAGATGTAGGTTTGAGGATTTCAGTTTAGGAGCCTAAAAACAGCTCAGGCTCTGGGGTGGGGAACCCCAGCAAGTTTCCCAGGTCAGTTATGAAGTCAGTCCCATAGACATTGGCTGCATTAAGGGAGAAAGGCCAGTCCTTATTTAAGTGATTTCTGTCCTGCTATACAGCTCCACACTCTAAATGGATACGGGGTTTTCATCTATCACCGGCCAGTTAATGTACTGGCAATTAAAATGGAAATCCTCCTTTGCCTGTGATCCTGAGTTCTTTAAGAGCTATCATCTTACAGGCCAGGTTGGATGGAGCTTTGAACAACCGAGTCTAGCGGATGGCATCCCTTCCCATGGCAGAGGGGTTGGAACTAGATGGTCATTAAGGTCCCTTCCAACCCAAACCATTCCATGATATCCATGATTTCTGGGTGAGCGCATGCCCAGCCCGTGAGGTCGGTATTTCTTCACATCCAGCTGAGCCACGAGAGGGCACTCGCTGTACGAGGTTTCACATCCCCTTCTCCAGAGCCAGAACGGGAGCTCCCGGTGGGCCTGGGAGGGCTAATGTGTGCAGCTAAATACACTCTAAGTGCTCTAAATACACTGGTCTGATATGTTTATAGAGTTTGGCATGGCCTGTCTACATCTCTTATTGGGTGAGATAAATGCCAGTTTCACGTACAACATGAGGGAGGATAGCAAGCTCTCCATGAATAAGCACTATGCTACTTAAATGCCCAAAGTATTCATAATATGGGTGAGCTTATTATGGGCCGATGGCCATATTTGTTCCTTACATCAGTTCATGGATGTAAACAGAAAAGTACCAAAGTTGTTTTTTACCTGTAATTTAAAGAAAGTATATGCCTAATCTTTTCTAAGAAAATCAGCATAAATTAGGAAATATAAATGGAGAGGAATGTTAAAAGCATATAAGACAAAACAAATCAACAAATCAGTAAAAACTCATGTTTTTTCAAGAGGTTCATCCACTTAAGAGAATCAGGATGTCCTTACCTCCCCTGGTCGGATTTTGATGTAGAAGTTGTTTCTCTTGTAGGAAATTTTCAAAACCTTTGGCCAGGCAAATCTATTTATTCTGAGCCTGTCTCGATATATTAAGAGTCCACTTGCACAGACTCCTAGCATGATTTCCACTCCTTCAGAATCCTGGAATAGCAAGCAATGCACTTTGTTGAGTATTTCTATCCTTGCATGCTACAGTACTACAGATTCCTGTATCCCATGTTTCTATCTGAGCTATGTCTTTTTAATGCATCAGCTGTAGTGACCTGATTTCTGAGCTCTACCCTACTCACTAAATGCATTCATGCAAATAATAGTAAGGTTGGGAAGGGTGAAGAAAACTGAGGGTTTCCAGTGTTTGCTTATATTTTACAAAGACTCCAAAAGGAGGAGGGAAATTTTAGATGTCATTAAAAGAAAGATATCAATCATATAGCAAAGTTCTATTAGCATAATAAAAAAAGGGTTATTAGCATAAATACCAGATTGAAAATAAGTATGACAGCATACAAATTTACTTCTCCTCATATCACTTATCTCCATGACTAAGCCTTGTGGATCCTTAGATTTTCCTTCTGTAGTTTGCTCATGTTGGCTTTAGTAGGCATGTTGGTTTATTTAATGCTCTTATGCCTTTGCCAGTATTTCCACTTTGAAATGGCCAGTGGGCATAAAGTTGGGCATTTGGACCAGTAAGTTCTTTTCTAAAAGTGTATGACTGTGCCTGTGCTACAACCTACGTTTGACAGGAGGCTGTAGCTCAGACACATTAGCACTACAGAAGATTTGTCCACAGTCTTATCAGAACATACCCATAAATATGTGGTTTTTAAAGTAAGTAATACAGACTTTTTTTTTCCTTTAGAAGTCTTCAAATAGTCTAAAACCAATTTTCATTACTTTTATCACTGTATCTTTGTTTAGCTAAGTACTAGTACTGATTTAGTAAAGAAGAATCCACTTTAAAAGTAATTGTGTTCTTCAGAAATTGTTTTTAAATAACCTAAAGTCAAAAAAGCCTGACCGCAGATGCTATGAAGATGTCACCCTATGATGTTCACGAAATGAATTCATCATTTTCCTCTGGTTTTCCCAGCCAGCTATCTTTTAGGCACTCGGTGAAAATCTGATTACATTTCAAGACCAGCACAATGGTATGTGTGGTCAGTCATGAGGAAACAGCTACAGTGCAGCTTGAAATTAAAAAAAAAAAAAAAAGCTTTGATATCACAACATAGAAATAGTGCCATGAAGTCATTTCAGTATTACAAAGCACATCAGTAGAGGACATATGTTCCAACAACGATGGTGTCACCTCTTAAAGATAATTTTTTTTCTAAATACAGCTCTTGTGTGGTATTACCATCAGGCACTACAGAAAAAACAATGTAAATTTTTTCAGTGTACTTCTGTTTCACTTTCCTAAGCAAAGAACAATGTCCAAATACAATGAATACAGTCTAGAAAACAAGGTCTCACTGCAGTAATCACACTGCCTGGTGAATGCCTGAAATGCAAGTGTGCTCATACATGGCACATTTCTGCAGGTGCAAGGGGCTTCTTTTTTAGATACCCTTTCTCAAAAAACTTGTTGGAATGCTTTCTTCCCTTCCCTTCCCTTCTTCTCCACCTTTGCTACAGATCTAAGTTTATTCAAGACTTCTGTTACTTGTTGGTGTCAGAGAATGTTTTCCAATGTAATACTACTAGTGTAAAATGAAACCTGAATAAAATAATTTGGCTTTTTTCAGGAGCCATGTGGTTGCATAGGGCAGAAACCTGTTAGCTGTAATATCTGAGGCACATCCCTGCAGATCTGCATATGGATGGGGGGGCTTCCTCATAATGGTGACAGCCCAGAGGACAGATCTATTTGAACATATTTTTCATCACAGCTTTGCACTGGGTAACTGAGAACTAGTTTTAATGCGAGCTGTTGAGTCCAACATCTGTCCAACACTGAGGATACTGGCACAGCCTTGCACACTTATGAACTGACATTTATGTAGAGACATTTGCCAGGGCACAACTTCCAAAAGGCATGCACAGAGATACTTTTCCCCTAGCCTGACACCTTCAGATGTCTCTGGAAGACCTAATTAAAACTAAACATGACTTCTCACGCAGAGTCCACTTTTCCCACCTTCAGCTCAATTTTGAAGATGACTGTCAAGTTTCCTAACTCACAGACAGACACACCTTGGTTATCACCTCAGCTTTTTAAAATAAAGAGCATGAGTTTGAAGAGAGATTAGCTTTTCTACTAGCTTCTCTTGTTCTGAGTCTTTCGATATGAAAAAAAAAGAAGAGCAAACCAGGATACTAATACTTTTTCAGGAAAGAATAAATAAAATGGTTATCTTATAATACCCCATCTTAAATTTCACAGCTTTTCTCCAGTATTCTGAAAAAATACTTAGGCCTTAATGCTATGTTATGTAAAATTTTCAGTAACAAAGCTTTTAACTTATTTTAAACAGTAATCCATTTAGTAGCTGGTTTTTGGATTTCTTTGCATCAGAAAAAAAACTATCAAGTGACATTTGCCAATCCATTTCTCTCTGCTCCAAATATCCCTCAAGACAGTGTGCGTATCTGCAGGATACAGAGAAGGCAGTGGCATCCCCTCCTGGTGGATGTTGCCCATTGAGCTGTACACAGATTCTTCATTTTCAGTGAAGGCAATTAACAGAACACAAAAGATTGCCTTGAATTCTGTAACACACATGCACAGCTCCTACAAAATGCCCCAGGGACACGGTTGCAGGCTCTTTCAAGATCCAAGCTCCAAATTTATCTTAATTCTTGAAAGGATCTGCTGCAGCAAAAAAACAGGCTCACAATAATTTGACCTTTACAGAAAATGCAGTTTTCTCCACAGGGCAGAATTCTTTGTTTTCATATTCATTTGCCAAGGATGCTTGCTAACCTCAAAAATGTTAAAATCCATTAGTCTTACTCTGAAGAGTAAAGAAAACAATAGTAATTATTTATTTGGAAAGAAAATTTAAAACCAAAAATCAGACAACCAACACAAGGCTAATAGGTGGCTCTCCCAAGCCACAGTAAGAATGACCATGTTTTATTCATAACTTAGCCTGCTGATGATTAGAGAAAATACTTGATCATGGAAGAATGTTTCCAGGAGAATTACTGCCCTCCCTGTCAACTGCAACAACCACACTTCAGGAGAGAAACAAGCTGCTGTCTCCCAATTATCATCAACCTGATTAGGTCATCAGCTAAATAATTGCTTGAAAGTCCTTTGCAACATAGAAATGATCTGCTATCCAGCTAAGATAGCATGGTTTGCCTTATTAAACTGGAAAATGTAGCTGAATTAAATGAAAATTGACCACTCTCTGGACAGCTTCTAAAATCCTTCCTCATCACCATCTATTCAGTATTTTCCTCAAGGACAGCACTGTTAAATCAACATGAAAGTTGATGTGCAACTTCTTTGGATCTACAGGATAAGTTATGTTATGGTTACAGGATATATTGACACTTATTTCATGAGTCACCTTTCCTCATGTTGACACATAATCCATCCCACAAAATTCGTGTCTCAAAAATACAAGAAAAAATAAATCAGGGATTCCACGCAGATGCATTTACTATGTACTATGCAACAGGAGACATATGGCCAGTGAAAGAACTAAACTACATACCTTGGCATGATGGAGATCTACTCCATACATGGATAGTTTTTTGGCATTCTCCAAGAAATGCATCTCAGCTTCTGCAGGTGTCATTCCCCTGTGGAAAAGTAACCAGTTCTAGCATAAATGTTAAGGAAACAGAATCCAAAAGAAAATCCAGCAGCAGGAAAACATTTTCAGAACTACAGCCATACCCCTTAGGTACCTACCAGAGCCACAGCTCTAGAGCAGACCCTGTTAACTCACATGCTGCAAAGCTCTTCTCTACCCAAACAGAGGAGTCTTGCCGATTAAATACACCACTTCAGAATTTAACATCTCCTGATGCACCAAGATGGTACCTGAAGCTAGAGCTCACACTGATGCCCTCTGCTTACCTGTGGCTCTTGTGCAGCTCGATCACTTTGTCCTCCAGCTCTTTAGTGTGGTTTGGCGCAAAGCGGAATTCGCTGATGTAGTCGCTGCCGTACTCGTCTGGGTCGTAGTCGCCGAGCTCCGACTGCACGGTGTAGGAGCCCAGCAGGGCCAGCGTGACGAACGAGCAGGGCAGCCGACCCGAAACGATGTCATCTCTCAGCTGCAAGCAGAGGTAGTACCTGCAAGAGAGCACCAAAGCAGCTCAGACAAGGCTCCTCCACCACTGCCCCCAAAGAAGCACCACCCAAGCACCGGAAAGAGACCTGGATTCCAATAGGAATTTGCAGACGGCCAAGCCCTGAGATTTTCAGCCATTTACAAGGACAATTATAATTTTGTAAAAAAACCCACAAAACACCAAGCTTTTGCCTAATTTATCAGTAGGAACACCTAATTTATCTTTATACCTCTTTATATCTCTTAATAAAATAGGTTATTACTTTGTTTAGTGACCTAGATGAAAAAATACCCATTAAACATACTAGATTTCTATCATAAATCACTTACATATAAATCTACCTGATAACTCTTTAAGGAGAAAAAAAATAATTAAAACCCGTACACACTGTTCATTTAAGAATAGCTGATCTCCAAGTCATTCAAAAAAATAAGCTGTCTCTTTTGCAATCTGTTGTGCTGTCTCAAAAATACATTTAAACAATAAATGCTATTAAAACCACAGAAATATGCAGCAAGGTTTCACCAACTAGATGAAAACAGGTGAAGAACATCGGTTTGGTGGCAAAGGCAGAGGTCCCAAGGGAAATTTAAGAGTCCAAAGAGGAATAAAGCAATCCTTTCCTTTGGAAGTCCACTGCTCAGTTATGAACTCTTGGCACATATCTACCACAGGGGACTCCTTCCAAGGAGGAAATCAGGTGAGGTTTTGATTTTGGTTTTTTTTTTTTGTTGTGGTTGCAATATGAATACAAAACCAGAGAGCAGAGGCGTAGAGTGCAAAGCTGAGTGACTTGGAGAGCAGGGAGCAGCTATTCATCACCACCATATTCGCTATTCCATGCACATTGATTGCTTACTTTGTCGAATGATATACATAATTTACATGCATGCTTATTCTCATCTATGAGAATGTTGATTTCAACTGGGAAAGAGTTCATTTTTTTTTTTTAAGTAGCTGGTACAGTGCTCTGTTTTGCATTCAGTATGGTCATGAAACCACAACATTATCTCACTTCTTTCCTTTCACAGTCATAATTTTACTTACAGTAGTAACTTGGTACCGCTGGAAAAAATGGGGATTTGGTATCTTTGTGAAAACTAAAATCAAATCCAAGGAATATATTCTATATTCTAAGGAATATACATATTGAAAAAGCTGGGGTTTAGGCTTAAACTACATAAAATAGTTCATAACACAGGAGATAGACACTGTTCACACTGTCTTTTCTGTAAAGCATTGCATATTTTCCATAAGCTCATATGAAAGACAATAGAATAAAAACATTTATTTTCTTGGATAATTAGAGTGTAAATACTACCAGGAACAGCTTTTAATCCACTTTTAAAAAGGTATTTAATGTTTAAAACACCTGGTAATGTCTTCAGATAGCTGGGCAGGGTCTGGAGGGTAGAATTTCACATTAAATGCAAACTGCCAAGCACCACCTGGAAAAGAACACAGATTGACTGAAAGTATACTGCAAGTGCAAACAGAGATGCTCATGCTATTCAATCACCAGCAGACTTAAAAAAATATCCCAGACAAGCAATTAATGAGAACAGGTTTTAGAATAGTTTTCTCACATATTGTACTGAAGATACTGCATTAAATCAGATTTTACAGCTCTTTTCTCATTTAGTAGGATTACCACTAAAGTGAGGACTCTGAGTGTGCAGTAATTTATTACTAATACTAAAAAACCCCTCAGTCTGAGAACAAAGTTTATGGAAAGTAAGCACCACACAGCCTGTACAAGCTTTAAAAAACAATAACCCAAAACACTGAGGCACTGGAAACACCACAAGCCAGAGTACAAGCTGGCTCTGGAGCAGGTTGATGTGCTGAGGTCTAGCTGCCCAAATCAGCTCACAGCATCCTCTCAGAGTGCTGCCTCAGCACATAGCTCCTTTCTTCAGCAGACATAAATTATTGTGCAGAGAAAACTGCAAGGACAAACAGAGAGTATGACTGAAAAAGTACATAGCACTGGGGAATTCTTATTTAATTATTTCACTAAAGTTAGTTGACCCACAGGATGAATACTGGTTTGTATCTCCAGATTTAGCAAAATTATTTCTGGAATGTTAGCTTTAAATGTTGTTAAAAAAATAATATCAAGATTTAAAAAAGGAGTTGAACATGGTATGTAAATCAAGAAGTTATTCTGAAAAAAAGGGTTAAGTTACACTAACACGTGACTTGAATGCAAATGAAAAGCAATAACAAAACCCCAAACCACACTGTTCTTACAAGCAACAAGGAAATTTTATCCCATGGGAGGCCCCATCCACTTTGGTCATACACACATCTAATCTCAAATGTTCAAGGCCAGGCTGGATGGGTCTTTGAGCAATCTGCTTGAGTGGGAAGTGTCCCTGCCCATGGCAGGAGTTGAAATTCAGTGATCTTTAAGGTCCTGTCCAATCCAAACAATTCTATGATTCCATGAATGTGCAAGAAGAGTTTTGATGTTCACCACCAGGACTTCAGCTCTTGGCACGACTTTTGGAGTCCTTGAGTATAGGAACTTTTCCATTTTCTTGGGCCATAAAAGAAAGGAAGATTTGGCTAGCAATGAGGATGGGGCATGATCCCACCAGAGAGCAGACCAGCCCCAAGGTGGGAATGCAGCCAGAGGTGACACCTGGTTCCACAACAGGTGGAAGGGACTGTGGCCTGTAAACCTATTCCTTGGCACAAAAAAATAAATCAAAGCTATGATCAAGCCTATCATAATAGCACAGATGGTTAAGACAGAGGAGTAAGCAGTCTTTACCTGAATTTTTTTGGAATAAAACCTAACAGTACAAGTGCAAGTCAGTGGGTTATAGCTAATAGGGTGTGAACCAAGGGCCTTTCTCAGCCACTGGGATGAAGTCCTAGCATTGTGTCCTGTGTGCTGTACAACTCAACCAGTGTTTAGCAGAACTATATATATATATATAGAGTTATATACATATATATATATATATATATTATATATATATATTTATATTTATATATGTTTTAGAAAGCATTATGGGTAACAGCACTACTTTTCTACTGTTGGCCTGTTCCAAACTTCTGGGATGAATTGTAGAGAGAAAGCAAATTATTACTGTCATTTTCTGCAAATAAAACTGTCCACTGCCTCAAGTCCAGGATGAGACTCTTCTGCCCTGGTTAATCTCCTGCTGTCACAACCCTTCATTGTCTATTTCATGGCTTGGGTACATATGAAATGCATTTCAAATATGTGGTGGGGAGCTGAACTGCTTTACTTGCATTGGCAATCTGCGTAACCTGACTCATTGTGGTCTAAAGCACCTTCCTCTCCAGATCCATCCCTTCATGAGATTTAAAAAAGGCAAATGTTTATTACTTTGTTATGCAGATCACTTACTTGTATAGAAAATAATACTGGAGAAAAGGGGAAGTTGCTCATAGTAAGTGGGGAAGTTTTCTCACCAGTGTAAATTAACCCTTTTAATCTTGGAGAGGGAAAGGATTTGTTTGCCAGGCCCGACCCAACAAATGTAAACTACCAGATACATTTGTTTTTGGAAGCACAAAGAGGTCACTTACGAAATGTGCAAAGAAAAAAAAGTTACTGAGGCTTTGTTGCCCACAGAAGTCATACACATAAAATTCTGTCCTTTTTAAAAGTGAGGGTAAGTAAAAAAACACAAGTCAACTTTTGAGCCCAGCAGTCTCAAAAAGGTTTTCCTTTGAGAGATTTTTTTAAATTTCTAATATAGCAGACACCTAGTTATAACAACTGAGCTTTTAAAAAGATTCATGTGAATCAGAAAATTGACTGAACGGTCATTTTAGGACAAAGATCAACATTCTGAAATGAAGAAAGGAAAGGTATTTAGATGGAGTACTATTTTGTATCAGTGAATTATTTCAGTATGGGGCAGTGTTTTTGGATATGATATAAATATCAGTAATGCAAGAAATAATTAATATACGTGGCCTACTCCCTAAGGTTACATTGCTTAATGTCAAACTTCAGGATTTTGCATCTCTGCAAATGTCAAGTTGTTTTCAGCAATACAAGTTCATGCGCTACGAGCATCAGAAATGCCTCACCATCATAGTGGAGTAAAAAATCTAAAGGATGTACATAATTCCTTTGCTAAAGACTTGGGACAGGATACAAAAGATGACTGTGAAATACACTGTCCCCATGGGGAGACATGTAGAAGGGGGCAATGATAACAAACTTACTTCGGATCTGCTTCTTGATTTCCTTGGCAGGGTCCAACCAATTCTGCAAAGAAAATGTTTCCTCTTTTCAATTTGAATTAGAAAACACAACAAATATTATTTTTAAAACAGTACTATGAGTCAAAGCTAGAACACAGGAAGCTCTGCCACACCTTTCTCCTTGGAGTAGCAGTAGACAGGGCTAAAACTAATTTTCAAATGTGGCCCTGTGCAGAAAAAGGATTTTTGTTAACCTTCACAGACTTTGAGGGCCTGAATGATTTGAAATAAAAGAATAAAAAATAGGAATTGGTAAAATTAACCCACAGAGATATCTTCACGGAGTATCTTCCAGGAAAACTAAACTTCTACAGGCTTGTTATAAAAAGGTGGTTTTGATGGATTTTTTTCCTCCAATCCTGGAAAGACTGAAAAGACTTGCTGGGGGATAAGCAAGTGCAGAGCAGGGCACTACCCTGTTTGCAATGCAGCATGGGCATGAGGGGCTTTCCAGGGAAAACCAGAGGCAGAACCACAGCACCTCTGCCCATACCCACACCATGCAGAGCCCAGTGAGAACTCAAGATAAAACCCCTGCTGAGGAGGTGGAGAATTATCCCAGTGATGTGTTAGTACTCCATGGATGCCAAGGAGCAGATGAAATTCCTCCAGAGGAGGCACATGGCAGCTTGGCGCCCTCAGTGCCTCTCTTGTCTTGACCTCTAAGAGAATCAAGTTAATATTTAAAATGCGTCACAGCCCAGAACAAAAAGTTCGCTTTCCCCAGGAAAGTTCCACTTTCTCCAAAGAAAGATAAACAAAGGTATCTGAGAGACAATAAAACACTAAAGAGATATCAAACAAGCTGAACACAACAATCCCTCCCCAACAAAAACAACCACTTTGCAGCTGTCCAAACCTGCTCTGTGGTGCAAAACATGAGCCCGAAGATCTCCAGCTATTGCTGAGCACAAAAGCACACTATGCACCGAGAAATTAAAGATGCATTAGGATTTCTGTTTACAAAGATGACATGGGGTATGGGCACGTACGTTGTCTGGCTGGAAGTTATGCGCCAGAGGATGGAGGTGAATTGCTAAGTACTTTGACATTAAAAATATGCATGTTATTGATCAATAAAAGTGGTAGCAGGCAATGCATGTTATTGATCAATAAAAGTGGTAGCAGGCAATAGTTCTTTTAACTGTTTAGCTCTGTAAAGTAACAGATGACCTATAAATATTTAGTGCTTATAAATCACATGTTAATAATGAACCCATGCTTCTCTTTCCTGAGGGAAAGTATACCTATCTGAAAATGCATAGACTTCTGCCTAGCTTTTCTCAAAACTAAGCACATGCTAAGGTAGTATCTAGCACTGGCATGGACCAAGCTGCTTAAGTGACTTTTGGAATTAGAAACAAAGAAGTCTGTGAAGACAGGGAGGAAAAAAAGAAACAAAAAGACTGATTTCTTTCATATCATATATATTTGAAACAAAAGGAAGCCTAGGAAACACAGCTGTTGTTCCCAGAAGACATAAACAGCTAAAAAAGTAGTAGCAGCTCCAACTCCATCAGGGAAGACCTTTCAGGCCATGCAAAGCACAAAGTCCCTTCAGCTGGTGAGCTCTGCTGAACTACTGCACATATTGCTAAGAAGTTTGTATTGGTTTCTGTCAAAATATTTATCTTAAAATGTCAAAATAACACAACATATTTTAACATATTTACCCTTTGATACACTCTCTTTCACCATACCATGCCCCAAACAATGTATGCACATATCACCTGCACGTTAGATCATCTTTGACTCTTGCAATACACAGCTTGTTTCATACTGAAGCTGGGATGCAGGACAGCAGAATGTGATTCACTACTGTGACCAGCTGCTTCTGAAGACTAATGTCTCTAGTCAAATCAACAATAATGCTAAGATAAAGTCAAGGCTTAGAGCCGTCCCTTATCTTAGAAGTTAGCAGGAGCAGTCAGTCATCTCCTGCCTATCTGTGTCCCAACCACTATTATTAAGCCGTATTTTAGTATTATATGTTTTGCTGTGTATCTATGAGTGTAAATCTGACTTTCATTTATGACAGTAAAGGAATAAATCATACTAGAAAGAGCACCAGCTATGTGATTAATATCTTTCATGTCATAAATAGCCAAAAGAGAGGGAACACAGGGAAACACAAGAGATGCTCTTGAGAAGTAGAGTCACTAAAAACAACTGCTCAAACTGTGTCTATGGAGCTTGGCAAGGAAGATAAAACCAGCTTCTGGAATGTTTGCAGCTGTCTGGAGAGCATCTCAGGGACTTCTGATGTTCACAGGCCAAAGGCCATCTGCAGTTTTGTATGTTACCTTTTGGTTTTCTGTATCTCTGTATGTTAGCCCAAAGTAGTCTTTTTCCAAAAGGTTCAGATGCTCGCACACTTTGTCAAACAGCACTTGACCTCTGGAACGTTTCTGTGGGAAATGAACAGAAAACAAAGAAAAAGACGCTTAAGTTTGCAAACTAAAGTAAAATAAGCATTAAAATAACACTTTTTCTGTCAAACCGGTAACCTCAAAATGATTCAAATCAACGCATCCATCTTTCCAACCTATTGACCTGGAGCTTCATAAGAATCTACTGAATGGGGCAAATCCTCTTTTCCTAAAACCTCAAGTCTTCTTGCAGAGCTAAAAATAAGTCATACATGCCATGTTTCAACTTCCAATAGGAAAATCTCTTCTTTTTCTTTTCAGAAACTCCAACTTCAAGAGCATGATGAGGTCATACCTCTGTAAACTGAAGCAATTCTTCATGTGCAAGTAGCAACAAATAGCAGTTAAAAATATTCCTGGTCATGGATTATCAGAGTTGTGACTGAGGAGCAATCCACTGGAGCAAAAACCAAACATGGACATACTTTTTTCTTTGGTAATAGTCTGGACTGATTTCAGGACCCATTTTTGTTTAATACACAGATAAATGTGATTACACCATCTATGAACATCATGGAAAGAGCCTAGTATCCGACTGGGAATGCAGCTGGGTAAAAAAGCAGTTTTCCAGTGCCCCACTAACCTTCTTCACTGCTGGCATGTCAGATGAGAAGACCTCTCACTGTCAACACACAGAGCCCTTAGCAGAAGCTTCGTAGTATCTATCATACTGGACAGTAAAAATTCAGGTCATCCTGGTTCTCAGCAATGTATGTGAAATTGAGGAAAAAATTCTCCAGAAAATCAAACAGACAGAAACATCCTATTTATAACCTACACATGCCAACTTTGATATGCATTAGCTACGATAAACAATTCAAAATTATTTGGGCCATATTCATCACTGCGTTTCATCATTGCCTGCTTCCCAAAGCACGACTCAGCTAAAGGAAAAAAAAAACTCCCCACTTTATTATGACCACACGCAAACATAAATATTTTAGTTGATGTCAGTGCAGCATTTTCTTTATCTGTAGCATACACATGACTAGAAGCAGACTAGAACTACACTACTTGCTTCAAAGGCAATGCAGGCAGTTAACACAAAAGAGGAGAGAATGCCACCTCCAAATGTACGTGCCTCTGCCAACAGAGCTGTGCCCCAACTGCGCTGCCAGCCCAGCAGCCTTGGCTGGGAGAGGGCAGTTCAAAATCCAAGCTGACACAGCTATGCCAACAAACCCATGGAGCCCAACGCTGCCCTCAAACTATTTTAGAAGTTGTAAGCAAGCCAAGAGAAAAAAAAGGAAAGAACTGAGGGTTGCTGCCTAACACCCAGGGAAAACATCACAGGAGATGATGGAGGGAGTGGCGCAGCGCAATCTAATTTGTGTTCAATTTGGTATTTTTACTGGCATTGGAATGGTATATTGGTAAGGACACTGGAAAACATCCTTTACATTTTTATCAATGGAGAAACTGAAGCATGGTCTAAAATATGTTCTCCAGTTGAGGAAAATAACCCAGGCCCAGAAGTGCATTACAAGTGTATTCCTGTAACTTCATTTACTGTGCCTTTCAGCATTATTTGAACAAACAGCTCTAGGGCCTTGTTCTGCGTGTCACATGCTTTCCACCCTGTAAGTAGGAAGCATAAATGTGTCCCAGCTCCTTTATAATGTCAAACAAATGTTTAGTTAATTCTTCACGCCCTGAACTTGAAAGTAGGTAACAAGAGGTTGGTGGTTTTATACTTGATGTTCTCTGTAGAGAAAGAGGCAGATTTAAAGGGTCTTAATACTGTGTGGAGAGGAACCGACTCAGAAACTTCAAGCCAAAATAGTCACATTTCTGCTATAAGCAAGCAATGCTGCATTTTGACAAATTTCTTATATGCTTTAATTAATATTTATTATGTGCTTATATGCTTTAATTAATATTTCTTTAATGCTCTTTTACTTGTTAACAAACTAAGTAGTTAAAGAAGTTACACTGAATGGGGAAAAACAAGCAGGTCAGCTCTAGAAGACACCAGCTTTGAAAAACACTGTCTACACCAGTGCATCATTCACATGTATTTGGATTGTGGCACTTCAATGCTCTCTTAATTTTAAGAGTCACTCAAGGCCAACACAGGAGCTGTTTCATGTGGCCAATCCATGCAGCTACACAGATGTCTGTTTTAAGAAATAGTAGCTAGCAGCTGCAAGGTGTGGTGTTTTAACAGGGAATTACATCAAACAGTTGTGCAGAACTGTGCTGTAATAAGAACCAAATGCCCAGAAAACCCCCAGTGCCCAGTATTTCTTGTTTGGCTACACACTGTAAGCAAGTAAGAGTATCAATGGCAATCTGGAACATTTTTCATGGCAATGTAAACTCCTCTTTCTCCTCCTATATGAAGATACCCAAATTGTACTTAGTCTTTTTCCACAAAACTCATGCTGCATCAGGATATAGGAAAACCCTGCTGGTGATGCAAGATGACATAAGAAAGACAACATGTAAATGACAGCCCTTCCTGACCAGGGTCTTCTCTTTACCACCACGAGGTAAGAACTGGTGATGGTTGACGGAAAACTTTACCAAGACCACTTCTCTTCCTACAGAAATAGCCATTAGCGTCCAAACAGATGAGCCTCACGTTGCAGCCTCACCACTGCCCCTGAATGCCTGTTCCCAGGTCAGAGATGACCTGTGGGAAAAGGATTTAGAGGACTCTGGTCATCTGGGGAGCTGGTGCTGCCTGGCTGTGGAATCACCCCTGCTGCTCTCCTAATGCAAGAGAAATCCTCATGCACCTGCATAAAGGCAGCAGTGCCACTTTATACCCATGTGCTGTGAGCAGGCACACTGTTTCTGAAGCATCACTGCACAGAAACACATTGAAGAGAAGCTACTGCATAAATTCACAGGAAATTAAGAGGTTCAATTAGAAATGTATAATTAAATAAATTGAACAATTTGCCCTTGTTAATTGTTTTAATTTTACTTCATGCCCAAAAAACCATGCCATGAAAGGCAAGGATATCAATGCTTTGGCAGGGAGAGAATAAAGAGCAGAGAAAGGTCAACTTCATACAGCTCCTCAATCCATCCTAAGCCTTCACTTTCCATTATTTTGGAGTGGCAAGTCTAAGACGATGAAAGATCAACAGTCTGCTGGTTACTGTGGATCACAAGTTAATGCCAAAAACGCCCATCAATTCTCAGCAGTCCAAAAAATGTGGATGAAAAAGTAAATAAATAAAAAAAAACCCAACAACTTTGTGCTATAAAATACTTTGTAAATGAAAAAAAAAAAATCTGCAAGGTAAATATGGCAGGAGTATCCACTAGAAACATTCTTAGATGTTTTTCAGTCATGAATGGGATGAAACAAAATGTACAGATGTGAAAAAATACGCTTCGCTTAAGCTCTGGGAAATCAAGTTAACAGAAGGAATACAACACACAGATTAAACAGTATAAATGAACACAAAGGTCTGGGAGAAAAAATGCTACTTTTTTCACAGCCTCATCCCTGCATCTCTGTAAAGGCCAGGGCTCTCTCTTGAAGCTGGAATAGGAATAAACAGCCTCCTGGTGAAGTTCCCAGTGAAAGGAGCCAGCAGCAGCAAACTTGGCAAGCCAGTGCCTGCCAGCAATTCTCAAACACAAGGAGAAGCAGCCTCTCTTCTCACCAGCTTCTCCTCAGATTTGAAGCTGAGTCCCTCCCTCCTTGGGATGCCGAAGGTCACAAAAGGCTCTCTTGTCCCCTAATTGGCTTCTGCAGCATTCTCAAATCTTTCCACATCATCTTCTTCAGCCCATATCCCTCCATCACATCCCAATTGTCTTACAAGATCACCAGACCAAGACTGTGTGAGCACAGAGTGAAGAGCTCAAAAATTCAAATACTTCCACCTTTGCTCTGCCTGGATAACATGGTTATTATCAAGTCTATTATTCTCACTGGCAAATATCTGGGTACAATATTCAGTATTTCTTAATGCATAACAATAATAAGAAAGTTTTCCTTTATTATGATTAAACACATAAACTGTATAGTACTTACCATTTGCAAACATTATCAAAGTGAAAAAATGCAAGCCTTTGTTACCACTTCAGCCACAAAATATGTACTGTATGGTAATCACAGAATCACTGATTGGCTGAGGCTGGAGGGCATCTCACGAGATTGCCACCCTCCCTTCTTCAGAAGCACCACCTAAAGCAGATTGGTCAGGATTGTGCCCACTTGGGTTTTGAATATTTCCATGGATGGAGACTCTGCAGCCTGTGTGGGCCTTTTTATTTCCTTCTGTTTAAATGGAAATCCCTGTCTTTCACTTTGTGCCCCTTGTCTCTTGTGGCAAACGCGTACTTCCAACCACATTCTGGTTCTGTCTTCGTTCACTCCTCCCATCAGATATTGATACACATTGCTAAAATCCCTCTGAGCCTTCTCTTTTCCAGGCTGAACAGTTCCAGCTCTCAGCCTTTCCTCATAAAAGACACACTCCAGGGCCTTCATCCTATCTCTGTCCCATTGTGGAACCCTGTCCAGTATGTTTCTGTTTCCCTTGTACTGGGGAATCCAGAATCAGACTCAGCACTTCAAGACTGAGTAAAGGGGAAGGAAAACTTCCCTCAACCTGCTGGTGACATTGCCCTGGATGGCACTGACCTTCTGTGCTGCCAGGGAACATCACTGACTTCTGTTCACCTTTTTGCCCATCGGGACCCTTGAGTAATAAAAACCCTGTGTTGCACCACCTAGCTACCAAACTCATGTGTTATTGTCCTGTGTTAAGCAATGAGGGAAATGACATGGAAAATGACATAGAAAATGACATAGAAAATGAGAAACTAACAACTTAATACAAATATATCATAACAACTCCCTTTTCCTACAGGTGCTGATAAGACTCTAGAAAATTCCTTTGGGAGTCAGTAAAATACAGGGAAGAGATCAGGAAGATTTCAAATGTTATGTGCTGGATGATGCTTCCCAGTCTGGAAAACAGTTGTGCCAGAGGAAAATTTGTGAAGATTCA